GGTGAGGAGGAGCTCTCTTTCTTCTTTTTTTTCAGACAGAGTCACGCTCTGTGGTCCAGGCTGGAGTGCAGTGGCACAATCTTGGCTCACTGCAACCTTCACCTCACAGGATCAAGTGATTATCGTGCCTCAACCTCCTGAGTAACTGGGACTACAGGTGTGTGGCACCATGCCTGGCTAATTTTTTTGTATTTTTTAGTAGAGACAGGGTTTCACTTTGTTAGCCAGGATGATCTCGATCTCCTGACCTTGTGATCTGCCCACCTTGGCCTCCCAAAGTGGTGGGATTACAGGTGTGAGCCACTGCACCTTGCCAGAGGGGTGTCTTTCCCTAGGGTTGTGTCTTCCTTGAACTGGGTGCAAACAAAAACACGGTCACACGTATGGCATGGAGATAATATACCTCCACAAAGAATTGTATCATGGCTCCTTGAAATCAAAGGACCAAATTATAAACAAGTTTTCACTGACTAGCTATTTGGTGATATTAAGCAAAAACCAAACAACAACAAATCCAAGAGCAAAAACAAAAACCTTTTCGCTGTGCTGGTGAAACTATGGAGTGCAATGGCGCAATCTCAGCTCACCTCCACCTCCACCTCCCAGGTTCAAGAGATTCTCCTGCCTCAGCCTCCTGAGTAGCTGGTATTACAGTCATGTGTCACCATGCCCGGCTAATTTTTGTATTTTTAGTAGAGACAGGGTTTCTCCATGTTGGTCAGGCTGATCTCGAACTCCCGACCTCAGGTGATACACCCACCTAGGCCTCCGAAAGTGCTGGGATTACAGGTGTGAGCCATTGCGCCTGGCTAACTGTGGTTGTTTGTAAAAGACAGAGTTGGTCTCTTTCAGAGGCACACGCTGGAAATGGGGTGGGGTGGCAGTGGGTGGGGGTGCAAACAAAATTAGATGTTGGTAATTACTGAAGTTTGCAGATGGGTACATGAAGTTAATTAGTTAACTATTCCACTTTTTGAATAAGTTTCAAAATATCCACAACAAAAAAAATGAAAACTCAAGTTTTCTTTCAGTTAAATACCCATATAAATGTTCTCATGAAATAGTACACAGACTGAGTGACTTTAAAACCCCTTATGAGGGGGGACATTAGCATCTTCATGTTTAAGATTGAAGGGAAATACCTCCAAGTATTATTTCTTGGTAGCGGAACAACAGTGATTTAAAAATTTCTTCCTGGCCGGGCGCGGTGGCTCAAGCCTGTAATCCCAGCACTTTGGGAGGCTGAGGCGGGTGGATCATGAGGTCAAGAGATCGAGACCATCCTGGTCAACATGGTGAAACCCCGTCTCTACTAAAAAAATACAAAAAACTAGCTGGGCATGGTGGCGCGTGCCTGTAATCCCGGCTACGCGGGAGGCTGAGGCAGGAGAATTGCCTGAACCCAGGAGGCGGAGGTTGCGGTGAGCCGAGATCACGCCATTGCACTCCAGCCTGGGTGAAAAGAGCGAAACTCCGTCTCAAAAAAAAAAAAAAAAAAAAAATTTCTTCCTTCAACTTTTTGGTATACCAAACCTTCTTTACTGAGAATATAGTACAATTATGGAAGAAGAGCAACAAACTTTCAAATACATTGGAAAAGTGAAGAGAAAATAATTACCCCCATAAGTTCTATATTAAGGAATATGCGGTGAAAGAGGCTATTACTTGTATCTTGTTAATGAATAGAAATAACCATCCATTTCATTACAGAGTAATATAACCCCTAACTGGTAAGTAAAAAGTACAATCTAGGCTGGGCGTGGTGGCTCATGCCTGTAATGCCAGTACTTTGGGAGGCTGAGGTGGGCAGAACACGAGCCCAGGAAATTGAGACTATCCTGGCAAACGTGGTGAAACCCTGTCTCTACTAAAAATACAAAGAATTAGCCAGGTGTGGTGGCATGTGCCTGTAGTCCCAGTGACTCAGGAGGCTGAGGCAGGAGAATCGCTTGAACCTGGGAGGAGGAGAGTGCAGTGAGCCAGGATTGTGCCACTGCACTCCAGCCTGGCAAGAGAGCGAGACTCCATCTCAGAAGAAAAAAGACAAAGTACAAATGAAAAGGGTAAAAAAATGCTTGCATGATGACTGCTCTTTTAAAGATAGCTCACATACACATATACAGAGATTTAAATTGTGCTAAATATAAAGCAAGAAAGGTTTGGAAATATTTATTTAAGCATAAATTTAAGAACAATAAAATCTATTTTAAAGAATCTTATACAGATGCATTTACAACTTAAAATCATTTTACTGGGTACACATTAGCCTCTCAACTCAGGTTTTACTGGTAGTCAGTAAATCTCACCTCTTATACTTAAGATAGCTGCTTCATGAACAGCCAGACGCATGAAGTACATTCATGCCTACTGCATTGATAGGATTCTTGTAATTTTCAAATAAACAAATGGCATTTCTTACAATACCAATTCTATTAAAGAGTCTAGTGAAACCACTCTAAACCCCCCAGGTAAAGTTTTGCAAGATGTTTCTATTGAAAGACAGTCTTGCTTTTGATTTCCCAAGATTCACAGTTGAAAAAGTTTGCCCCACTGACATATGGCACCTCCGTTATGGTTGGATTCACAGTCACCATAAGCGCACTATAGTAGCAAAACAAGCAGGAACCTACCTAGAAATCGGGGCCTGAGTTTTGCACCTTAATTCTCTGAGATTGGCCCCTTGTGCATAAACAGGGACATTTGGAAGACATCATCTCTAAGGTTCCCTTCCCCACTTCTAACATCCTGACTTCAAGTCTTTAAACTTGACACTAGAATGAAGAATAAATAAGAGCTTTCTCCAAAAGCTGCTGTTCCCTTTTTGGATCATTGCACAAGCCTTAACCTGCAACAGCTGAGAATGAAGACTAAATTTTATCTAAGAGCAAACTTGCTGCAAAGGGATCCACACAAATATTTTGTGGCTTAAAACAGATAATCTTTTTAAAGATTTGGCCTTTGAGATACTTAATCTCTTGTTAAATGAGAATAGTCTTTTAGTTAGTTCCTCACTTTCTTGACAGGATTCCTAGGAGTCATTCCAAACCAACTGCTTCTGAGTTGGTTTCTATAAACTAAATCTTGCACGTTTATTAAGGAACAGCCTGTTGTATAAGTTTGCTAGGGCCACGTTATCAGATTTGGTGGCTAAAACAACAGACATTTATTTCCTCAGAGTTCTGGAGCTTGGAATGTGAAACTCAAGGTGTCGGCAGGGTTCTTTTTCTCTGACAACCCCTCTCTCCTTGGCTTGTAGATGGCTGTTTTCTCTCTGGCTTCTCATGGTCATCTCACTGTGTCTGTGTGTCCTAATCTCCTATTCTTTTTTTTTTTTTTTTTTTTTTGAGTCTTGCTCTGTCACCCAGGCTTGAGTGCAACGGTGCGATCTTGGCTCACTGCAACCTCCACCTCTCGGGTTGAAGAGATTCTCCTGCCTCAGCCTCCCAAGTAGCTGGGATTACAGGTGCCCGCTCCCATGTCCAGCTAATTTTTGTACTTTTTAGTAAAAATGGGGTTTCTCCATGTTGGTCAGGCTGGTCTTGAACTTCTGACCTCAGGTGATCCACCTGTCTTGGCCTCCCAAAGTCCTGGGATTACAGGCATGAGCCACTGTGCCCAGTCCTTTTGTTTTTGTTTGAGACAGAGTCTCACTCGTCCGTTGCTTAGTCTGGAGTGCAATGGTGCAATCTCGGCTCATTTAACCACTGCCTCCCACATTCAAGGTATTCTCCTGCCTCAGCCTCCGGAGTAGTTGGGATTATAGGTGCCCACCACCACACCTGTCTAATTTTTATAATTTTGGTAGAGACCAGGTTTCCTCATGTTAGCCAAGCTGGTCTCGAACTCCTGACCTTAGGTGATCTGCCCACCTTAGTCTCCCAAAGTGCTGGGATTATGGGCGAGAGCCACCATGCCCGGATGTTCTCCTATTCTTTTAAGAACACCAGTCATACAGAATTAGGGCCAACCTAGCAGCCTCATTTTAATTTAACTACCTCTTTAAAGATCTATCTCCAGTTACCATCACATTCTCAAGTACTGAGATTAGGGCTTCAATGTATAAATTTTGGGGGACATTATTCAACCTATAACTAGTAGTTTTTCCTTTTTCACGTACTTTCACTTTGATATGTTAAACTTAGGTTTAACATAAGTATTGAGAAGATAATTTAGAAACCAAAAGGCCTCTCTCAGATGCAGGCAGACACATGTAAAAAGAATTTGTTGCATAACTAGGCATTATATTTGTTGCAGCTTAGGATTTACTGAAAAACATTCAGAGACCTGTGCCCCCAGGCAGCAGCTTCTGGCAGAAAAAGGCCAAATCCTGGCATCCAGGGCAGTTAAATTTAGAAACAAAAGCCAAGATTCTATCACTCAATAATCATTTTCTTCAATGGCTGACACGCCAAAAGATGGGTCAAATTTATTTATTTTTAAGTAAGTTTTAATTATGTATATCTATATAGATATATATAGACAGTCTCAATCTGTTGCCCAGGCTGGAATGCAGTGGCGTGATGATAGCTCACTGCAGCCTTGAATTCCTAGGATCAAGTGATCCTCCATTTCTGTCTCCTGAGTAGTTGGGACTACAGGCATGTGCCACCATGCCTTGCCACTTAAAAAAAAATGTTTTGTAGAGATGGGGGTCTCACTGTGTTGCCCAGGCTGGTCTTGAAGGCCTAATCACAAGAAATCCTCTGGCCTTGGCTTCCCAAAGTGTTGGGATTATAGGCATTAGCCATCATGCCAAACAAGTTATTTCCACAGAAAACCCGTTCTTAGGGCATGGTGCCCGGTCTACCAGCATCTGAGTCACCTGGGATATGTTATGGAAGCAGTTCTCTGCATCATACTGCAGACTCAGTGAATTCAGCTCTAGGTCTGGGAACCTGCAGTTCAGCGAGCATCCCATCCACCTGCCCTCTGGAGCCTGTGGAGAACTGTGTGGCCATCTATGCATCCACTCATCACACATGAGAAAGATCATGCTAGTCTGAAAAGCAAAACTGAATATACGTTTATTTTACACAAAGTACAATCCAGTATATGCAGAAAGGTACTCACCATCAAAATCATGATCAATATCCTCCTATTTCCATTTGGTATGTCACTGAACACCTGGTATATCACTTAGCTAAAAATCACATGAAAGCTCCCCTAGAGATATCAAACTAATGTTTTTCCCCCCCAAACAATAAATTTTCTCTGCATTAGTTAAGTCTGATAGTGATATTCATTAATAAGGAAAACTCAAATTTTCAAGTATCAACTCTGAATGGCAAAGACCCTAATCTGACTTACTAGCCACCAAGAACCCAGAAAAAGAACTCAAGAAGAGGGAAGCAAGAGCTCCAGGGACACGATCTTCTTTTCCGTGAATTCAGTCCCACGGCTATTTGAGCAAGGGTCCAAGACAATGGAGAGGCAGTGAAGCTGCTGGGAGGGCTGTTCACAGGCAGAAATGCACCGGCTGTGCCTCTCCCTGCTCCTTCCACAGGGTCTGCTCTTCACTGGCTACACTTCAACTTGGTCCTCTGGTCTCACCACAGCTTCTCGGGAGACTTTGGGTTGTCATCTTTACAGTTTCAAGAATCTATTTTGGCTGAACCCAAGGGTAACATCCCCATTCAAAATAGAAATGTTCTCATGGCACGAAGGCCATTCTGTAGACTGCATGTACATACGTTATAAAGGCTCCTATGTAAGACAAAGCGTCCTTCCTCTTTAGCAAGAGAATACTGCATCCAGCAACACTGCTTCAGCTAGCTCTTTTTCATGCGCGTCCTCATGTGTGTCGCAATTGAACCAGCTATTTCTCTATTCCTCTTGTTCTGGCCAAAATAATCTACAAACTCACCATCTGGTCCAACCAAGTACATTATTATTGTGTGATCCACCTGCAGAGAAAAGGGGGGAGGATGTGACAAAGATTACCAAAATAAGTTGCTTATTTTACTGAATATATGCTGCAAGGTAAAAGAACTTTGTATTAATGCTTAAATAACCTTTGTAGTATCTATTATTTATGGAATAGGCTTAAGCCTATTACAGCAAATTTCTAACAAGGGATTGTCTAAAATCTTTTGTGTCCTAGACATCTGCCCTGGCTATTGCTTGTCGCATCAGCTAGAACCTGAAATTCCTTTGGTTTAATCCTTAACATATTTATCCACACACTCTCTGAGAAAAGAATTCACCTTTTAAGAAATAGCTGCCGCAGGCCTTCATAAGGCAGTCAATGTTTGTGAATAGCAATGCTTCTTGGGAAATACCTTCGTTTTTGAGTAAGATATCTCCTCAGACCCTAAACATGTTACAAAAAGACATCTCGTGGAATTAGGTATTGGTGAAAAACTGCTTTCTTTAGTAAGTTCTTGGGTATATTCCTTTATGTTTTAGAAAAAACTGGTTGTTATTCGTGACTGCCAAAATTCTGCTTACCATACTTTATGAGAAGCCAGAAAAGTAACCACTAGTTTAAATAATCTATTTATTTGAATAATATTTAGTTTTAGTATTAGTAATTCAAATAGAAATAGGAAAACAAACATTTTTCTCCCCAAGGATATTTTTTCCTTCTCCACTGAATAATCCTATCTAAAATCAATCAATCACCTGGAAGGCAAATCCTTGGGAGCCATAAATGCTGCCCCCCAACCACGGAGTCATCCTAAACTCAGCATCCACTTTCCCCACAAAGTCCTAAAATGTTCCCAGCTCTAACTTTAATTTAGATTAGTCATCAAGTTTTTTAGTTAGACACTTCCATAAAATCCAATCTTAAGTGAGATTTGACACTTAGAATCCTTGGAATTGACTGCAGGCTTGCTTGTTATTTGGAGAGACAAAGAAAGACAGGAAAGTGACTACAAATACCAAACTGGAGACACCTCCCAAATATACCCCAGCATGCATTATATGTCTGTGCGGGTATTACTTTTTTATACACACATTCATAAGATAGCAAATGGGAAGAGCACTTGCCTACCCACATAAGGAAAGAATGTACACCAAAGGAGCACCAACAACTGGTGATTCCAAGTGCTGTGGAATAATTCACTATAGGAGCAAGAGAGGGAGTCTATATTTCTCCACACATTTTATACAGAAATCAGAATTAAATCTCCAGTTCTCTTACTCTGTAGCTTATATCTATCTTTCTCTCAATTTCTTCCTTTTCTCTATTCTCTGTTAAAAAAAACAAATTGCAGTATATGGGGCTTATTTTCTGAGTGTTCTTAATATAAATGACTTTGTGGTACACAACAAAAATATTGTTCCACCTGTATCTGTTGAACTTGTCAGAAGTCACTCCTCAATATTCCTTTGGGTTGTGGTAGAGCAAACTGACATTTATTCTAATATAGAGGTCTTCCAAGTTCTAGTACGTCCTTGAATAGAAAAAGGACACTAGCATTCACTGACAAATTCTTTCACATGTCATCTTAAGCCATGAAACAGGTATTCTCCTCCACAAATGACATCACACACTGGAAAGGGCAAATTATACAAATGCTAAGTGCCAGACCTAACTTTAAAACCTAGGGTCTGTCCAGTTTTGAAATCCACAAACTTTAATTACCACGTTGCCTCCAGCTCCAATTCCACTGGAGAGTAGCAACTTAGTTTTTTCCAATGTGCAAGTTATGTTTTAGTGTGTTATTTTTTGAAAAGGTAATATATGAACATAGAAAAATATCCAGTAAATTTATACAGTGAAAATGTTCCTCCCCATCTTCATACCCAGAATGCCTCAGTTTCTCAGAGGGAACCAATGCCACCAGTTCCTTCAGTGTTCTTCCAGAGAAATTCTCTGCATCTACCACATGTATATACCCACTACCACTGATTTTTTTTTATACACACAAGTAACAATAAATTATACAGTACTTGCCTTCTCATTTAACAATATATTGGACATTGTTCTACATTAGTTTATACACAGTACTTACAAAATGGTTACTGGTTTCAGTCTTTTCCCCTTACAAACAATGCCATAGGGTATATTCGTAAGATAAAGTCCAAAAAGTAGAATCTCTGGTCTAAAAAGTATATCACATTAAATGTGAGAAATACTGTCAAACTGCCCTCTGAAGAGGGTGCATGAGTTTAATTCCTGTCAACAGTGCACGAGAGTGCCTATTGCTCCAAATTCACTCCAATGGTGTATTTCTTGCTTTTCCAGTTTTGACAATAAATTTTCAAATCTTCTAACCATTGCTGAGCTAACAGATGATAAATGTTACCTCATTATACAATTCACATTTCTTTTATTATGAAACTGAACATTTACGTTTGAAAGCCATTTTTTCCTTTTTCAAAAGTATTTTCTAATACCTATGTAATAATATAATATTGTTGCATTATATATATGTATAGTGCAATAATGTACAGATCCACCTTTCTATGGCATTTCAAATGTTTGGTAAACCCAGTTTGATCAGTCTGAAGAGTCCACTCAGAAGCCAGAAGCTTACCTTCTGTTGCTGCTGTTTGAGATTAAGAAAACTTCATTCCACTACATCTCAAGGTTAACCTTGAAGGTACCCTCTTACTTCCTGCAGGTCCTTAAATGTTAACAGAGGTTTTCCAAACTATTCTATGAATGAAAATCTGTGACCTCAAGGGACAGAAGTCATACTAACGAAAAACCTAAGGAGCTGGAGAGTGTCTCCCCCTACTGGATGGTTTAGCAAATGTACAGCAATGAATTCCTCATTGAATCTCATTAAAAGTCAAATTCTTATGGCAGTAGGCCAGTATTTCTCAAAATGGGGTTAAAAATACATTCTACAAGGTCTAAGAAGTGTCCATAAGATTTACATATTTTCATTTTCATTTGTAAGATTAAAAAAATTAATATCCATATTCTGGATTATCTGCCTTGTAAGTATAAATTTCAGTGCCCAGGCCTGTTTGCTTTGTTTATGATCTCACTGGCACCTAGCTGTCCACTGCTGTTACAGGCAGACATGAACGATACATTCTTGCCAAATCAACACTAACCCGGTAAGGCAGGCTACACAGTTCTTTAACTTCAATTAAAAATACTGTTAAAGTATTTAAATTGGAAATGCAGAGGGGCAGTTGAGTAGAGCTGGGTATCTGATAGCAGTCTGACCAAAACCCCATTCCTGTGGTGAGCAGCACTTTGGTTTCAGCAAAATCTTGTCACTGTAACTGAATGTCTTAAATTTAAGTTTTACAGGCTGTTTATTTGCACAACTGCTTTCTGACTTATGACTTTCTGACTCTGAGTTATGAGATCTCAGCATAAGACTAAGGAGTGTTACCTAGTTTAGGACTGTATACATTTAAACAATTTAATATAACTCATTTAACGCTGAAAATCAGACTGATGAGGTCCCCTATTCCTGCTATCATCATCATATAAACTCAAAACCAGTTAATACAACTCTCTATAAAAAGTCTGGGAAGTCCTTTTTCTATGGTTTCCTCTCTTGGCCACTACGGCCCTCTGCTCTTCTCTCATTCTTCTAGAACAGCAAGTGGAAAACAGAGGAGAGTCCCTCTACTTTCCTTACACTTTAGGTTTAAGGGAAAATGCTCATTTTTCTCCAAGGAATCCAAGTTTCCCTAATTCTATGAGGCAGCACACCTGGAAGACAAGATTACTGTGTAAGCTTAATTCAGGTAAACGGGCCAGAATTTGCTATTTAGGGTATAAGCTCCAGGGGCACACGTGTTCCAGGTTCAAAGGTGACAGAGAAACCACAGGGGGCTGCAGAGACAAAGCACTGCAGTGAGACATCCCATCCCCTCTGCATCTCACTATTGGGATAGGCCATGGGGAGCTGGTGGATCAGTGATTCAGGATCTTGCCCATCTTTCTTTCTATAAAACCAGATTCACAGCTAGAAAGACTCTTATGATTACAATGCCCATTACGGAAAAAAACAGAGTACGACAACTAAGAAAAAAACTTGAAATAATGCTAAAATACAATACCAACTTTTAATCTGAGAGGAGAAAAATGTCTAAGCTGAGAAGAAAATTGGTGGATAGTGGTGGTGCTAATGCCCTTTTTTGGTGCTTCACTGTGAAGCCACTGATAAGTAATAAAATAACTTGGGCATGACCCTAACTAAGGCTTCTGGACAGTGCTGATGAATATGAAGATAGTTCTTTAATATAAGAGCTACATAAACAACAGAATTTCTGTTCCTTATCATTAAAAAGCACATATTAAACACCTAATTGTGCAAGCCATATAGTTGATGGGCAAATAAACCATATAGAAAGTCTCTCTTACGATAATTTATCTTTTGCTTTTCAGAATTCTCATTCAACCTGAAAATGAAGTTCTCCATGGCCTAAAACTGGTTCTCCAAAGAAGCAATTTCTGATACCTCTATGCTGGGGACATAGTGAGAACCAATACAATCTCTTTAAAATAAGTGTTGTTCCAAATGATGGCTCCTCTTCATGTCCAACATGGCACCCAAGTACCTGATTTTAAATTGCCCTAAAATCCTATGTGCCACTATAAGAGAAAAACAGGCAATTATATTATCAGAACAATGAATATAAATCAAACAACCATCTTTTAAAAAACATGCTTCGGGCCAGGCACAGTGACTCATGCCTATAATTCCAACACTTTGGGGGAGGCCAAGGTGAACAGATCACTAGAGGTCAGGAATTCAAGACCAGCTTGGCCAACATGGCGGAACCCCATCTCTACTAAAAATGCAAAAATTAGCTGGGCGTGGTGGGCACATTCCTGTAATCCCAGCTATGTGAGAGGCTGAGGCAAGAGAATCACTTGAACCCGGGAGGCAGAGGTTGACATGAGCAGAGATTACACCACTGCACTACAGCCTGGGTGACAGAGTGAGACTACGTCTCAAAAAAATAAATAAAAAAAATGCTTCTATTATCCTTTCAAATATTCAAAATTCCTAAGGAGGCTGGGTGCGGTAGCTCACGTCTATAATCTCAGCACTTTGGGAGGCCAAGGCAGGCGGATCACTTGAGGTCAGTTGTTCAAGACCAGTCTGATCAACATGGTGAACCCCTTTTCTACCAAAAACATAAAAAATAAGCTGGGCGTAGTGGTGTGCACCTGTAATCCCAGCTACTCAGGAGGCTGAGACAGGAGAATCGCTTCAATCCAGGAGGAGGAGGTTGCAGTGAGATGAGATTACGCCAACTGCACTCCAGCCTGAACAAGAGTGAGACTTCGTTTGAAAAATATATATATCCTAAGGAATTTGCAATAATCTTAGGTTTTCTTTCTTCTGAGAACCCAGTCAGTCACTTAAAGCTGTCTGTATAAGTATTTGGGATCTGGAAGCTGGTGCATGGGTTAAAACCCGGGCATTTATTTACTCACTATGTAGTCTTCATCTTCGTCCTTGGGGCCAGGGCTGTAATACACTCTGTAAGCTCTGGCCACTTTATCGATCTCTTCTTTGGTGCCAGTCAAGCCAACCAGTTTGGGAGAAAATTCTAAATAAAAAATGAGAGAAACAGTGAAAAATGAGAAGCTAGTAAAACAACCATCTCTACTTCAAAAAATGTATCAGTTGTAAAGCAGGTCTACTGCCACATTCTTCCTGTGAGTCTGCAAACATTTCTTCATGATTGAAAGGAAAAGAAATTCACAAAGAGCAAATGAAAATTCTTTGTAATATGTAAGTCAAATCTTTTTATGACTATCTAGTAAAGATCTGGAGGGAATATTTTCTAATTACTTAAATCACATTTTAAATTGATTTGTAAAAAGAAGTTACATGTAATTCTGAGATATACTGAAGCTTAAAAATTTTATCATAAATTAAGTACTGTAATTTTTTACGGCATCACATGAGGAAAAAAATCTACTTCACAACTAAGTTCTTATCAGGTCAAAATACCTGTATCTTATTTTCCTGCAAATAATTTCAACACTGGTATCAGGTTCTACTCTTTACTTCTGATAAAGAACTGGTCAATTAATTAATACTAATCGTTCCCAAATCGCAATCATAACAAAGTTCTGAAATAAGGGCAAATCATTCAATAGCATGTATCTGCTATTAAGTTTTTAGAATTTATGTAAGTGAACTGGTAAAGGTCACTTAAAACACCTGGCTTCATCAGACTACTGAAATGACAGCCCAACATTTAACAGCAGTTCCTTCTTCTAAAGGTACAGAAGCTAATTTTTCTTCCTTGGATGAACTCATTCTAAATGATAAATTGTTCAGATACTGAAAAGACAGGCTTTTTCTTTTTCTACTCTGAGTAAACAGAGAAAGGTGAACGAAGCCTGAGTTAGCTGCACATTCAAACTTCTTTAAAAACTAAATTGCTGAAACTGCATTTTTTCTAAATACCAACTTAAAGTTTAAAAAATCTCCCCAAAATGCAACTAGTAATGACTATATCATCAAGCACTATGTAGTGTTGAAAATTACCATAAAGTTTGGTATTTTGTTTAGGTATAGCAACTCAAGTGTCTACTCACTTGGGGATATATGGTTTGGTTAATAATATGTGATTTTTGTGATGTAACACGTTTAAAATAAAGACTGTGTATAACTCAATGAGTTTATAAATACCTGGTTTTTATTGCTTCATGAAATGACTATGCTATTGCCCAAATTTCTGACAAAACTGTTAACTGTAGATATAAATTCTGCTTATGTATATGTAGTAAAAACTCTAAACTTCAAGAAGAAAACATAAACCTTTGTAACCCTGGGTTAGACAAAGATTTCTTACACACCAAACCAAAAGCACTATATTAAAACAACAAACTAATAAATTTGGACTTCATTAAAATGGAAAACTGCTGTTTGAACGGCACTGTTAAGAGACTGAAATGATAAGCCACAGACTGGCACAAAATATTTGCAAATCACATTATCTAACTTGCATCCAGAATATAAATAACACACATACATGCAAAAACAAAGAACTCTATAAAAAACGGTCAAAAGATACAAACTTCACTAAAAGTAATACAGATGGCAAATAAGAGCATAAAAAGAAGCTTAACATTAAGAAAATGTATGCTAAACTCACAACAAGACATCACTAAGCGCCTACTAGAGTGGCTAAAGTTAAAAAGACTGGCCACACCAAGAGTGGTGAGGCTGTAGAGGAGCTGGAACTCTCACATACTGCTGGCAGAAATGCAGAAATACACCATTTTGGAGAACAGTTTCTCAATGTCTTAGAAAGTTAAAATACACCTACCATATGATCCAACCATTCCAATCCTAAGAATTTACTCAAAAGAAATGAAAGCATGTGTCCACACAAAAATGTGTACATGAATGTTCTTAGCAGCTTTACTCGTAACAGCCAATAAATGCAAAATACTCAAATGTCCATTGGTGGACTATTTATTAGTCAGCAACAAAAAGGAATGAACTATGATACACAGAAAGTGCAGTCTAATCTTTATCAACAGAAAGCAGTTCTGCAGACAGGAGACTGGGGAGGGAAAACGGGAGAGATTAACACAGGGAAAGGAAAACTTTTGAGGATAACAGGGTATGTTCATTCTCTTGATTGTGGGATGGTTTCAGTTACAAAAGGCAACTAATTATGTACTTCAAATATCTATACTTTATTGCATGTCAATTATACCTTCATAAATGTGTTAAAAGTAATTATACATACAGCAGATCCTTCATAAAACATATTTTTAAATAACCTCAAAGTTTTAGAAGATATGTATTTGAATGTATCATATAATAAACATAAATATAAAACTACTCTTTAGTGCTTAGTTATTAAATCAATGTTACCATAATTAAAATTCAGATTCCTGATTTTTTTCTTTATATATATGTATTTTTTTATGGAGACGGGGTTTCACCATGTTGGCCAGACTTGTCTTGAACTCCTGACCTCAAGTGATCCACCTGCCTTGGCCTCCCAAAGTGCTGGGATTACAGACATGAGCCACCGCTCCCAGCCCAGATTCCTGATTTTTAAGCACATATGTTGAAGAAACTTGAGTCTAGAGAAATTAAATTTGCCCACTCTCACACCTGAATTAGAATCTAAGCATTCACCCTCAATTCTACTATAATTTATAGCCTTTAAAAGTGCCTAACAGCTTTTTAGGCATACAAAGATGTCTGATTGAAACTCCTCCATTGAAAGTAAATGCCTTCCTCAGAAGTAGAAAAAAACAGTCCTAAAATTCCTATGAAAGCACCACAGACCCCTAATAGCCAAGGCAATCTTAAAGAAAAAGAAGAAAGTGCAGACTAATTGGCAGGATCACACTACCTGCCTTTAAAACATACTACACAAAGCCATAGTAATAACCACAACAGCAGGTACTGGCATAAAAACAGACATACAGACCAATGGAACAGAATAGAGGACCAAGAAATTAAGCCAACTGATTTCTGACAAAGGCACCAAGAACATAGGCTGGGAAAGGACAGTCTCTTTAAGAAATGGTGCTGGGATAACAGGATATCCCTATGTAGTAGAATGAAACTACATCCTTATTTTTTATCATATACAAAAATCAAATATAAATGTAGTAAAGACAAATGTAAGACCTGAAACTACAAAATTACTAGAAGAAAACAGGGGAAACACTTCAGGACATTAGTCTGGGAAAAAATTTTATAGATAACGTTTTGAGAGCACAGACAACAAAAGCAAAAATAGACAAATGTGATCATATCAAAATAAAAATCTTCTGCACAGCAAAGGAAACAATAAACAGAATGAAGAGACAACCTGAAGAATGGGAGAAAATATGTGCAACCTATTCATCTGAGTAGGAAGTAATATCCAGAACACACAAGGAACTCAAACGTTTCAACAGCAAAAATACAAATAACATTTTTTTAAAAGGGCAAATGATCTAAATAGACATTTCTTAAGGCATACAAATGGCCAAGAAGTACATGAAAAAATGTTCGACATTGCCAATTGCCAGGGAAATGCAAATCAAAACCACAATTAGGTATCTCATCCCAATTTGAATATCACCAAAAATACAAAAAAATAACAAATGCTGACAATGATTCAGAGCAAAGATACCTCATACACACTGTTGATGGAAATGTAAATTAGTACAACCATTGTGGATAGCAGTATGGAGGTTCCTCAAAAAACTAAAAACAGAAGTGCAATACAATCCAGGTATCTCACTACTGGGTAGACATTAAAAGGAGATGAAATCAGTATATTGAAGAGATGTCTGCATTCCCATGTTTACTGCAGCACTATTCACAACAGCCAAGACAGGAAATCCAACAATAATCAACAGGTGCATGGATAAAGAAAATGTGGTATACATATGTCACAGAATACTATCCAGCCATACAAAAGAATGAAATCCTGTCATATGTGGCAATGCAGATGAGCCTGGAGGATACTGTTAATATGTTAAATGAAAAAAGTCCGGCACAGAAAGACAAATACTGCATGTTCACGTTTATATGTAGAAGCTAAAAAAGTTAGCTCGTAGAAGTAGAGAGAACTGTGGATACGAGAGGCTGGAAAGGGTAGGGGAGGACAGGGACTCTGTACCCCACAAATATGTACAACTGTTATGTGTCAATTAAACAAGTTATGTGTTTGTCATAGTAAATGTTTTATTTATTTTTAAGACAGAGTTCTTGCTCTGTTACCCAGACTGGAGTACAGTGACGTGATCTCAGCTCACTGTGACCTCTGTCTTCTGGGTTCAAACAATTGTCCTGCCTCAGTCACCCGAGTAGCTGGTATTACAGGCACACAACACCAGGTCCGGCTAATTTTTGTATTTTTAGTAGAGACGGACTTTCACTATGTTGGGCAGGCTGGTCTTGAACTCCTGACCTCATAATCCACCCACTTCAGTCTCCCAAAGTGCTGGGATTACAGGCGTGAGCCACCATGCTCAGCCTGTCATAATAAATGTTTTTGAGAGCTTGTTTGGAGGTTCTAGCAGGGGAGTGCAGCTACTCGTATACCCTTGACTGAAGACTGGTCCTCCTCTATCAGGGATGGTCATCCTCTTCGACCAAGTGCGCAGCTTCGGGAGGGACGCACGTGGAGCATTGAGGGAGGAAAGGGATACCCGCCTAGCCAGCCAGATCAGCCGAATCAACCCTGGTGATCAATGGGGTGACAGCTGTTGCAGCCAGATCGCCCTTACATCCCATAATAAATGTTTTAAATTTTAAAACATGTGCTGAGTTCAAAACATGTTTATATTTAATTATTCATCTTTAATCTCCCAATGAACATACTTCCAGAATATATGTTTGTGCTAATTTTACAAAGGAGAGAATAAGTCACAACACTAAATTAGAAGCAACGTGTCCTTACTCTCAATTCAAGGCTCTATTAACTTAGTTGATACATGAAGGCCAAGTTCAAATCTTTTCTCTGGCAAAATAAAGAGTACTGTAGGCCAGGCGCGGTGGCTCAAGCCTGTAATCCCAGCACTTTGGGAGGCTAAGGCAGGTGGATCACGAGGTCAAGAGATCGAGACCATCCTGGTCAACATGGTGAAACCCCGTCTCTACTAAAATACAAAAAATTAGCTGGGCATGGTGGCGCGTGCCTGTAATCCCAGCTACTCAGGAGGCTGAGGCAGGAGAATTGCCTGAACCCAGGAGGCGGAGGTAGCGGTGAGCCGAGATCGTGCCATTGCACTCCAGCTTGGGTAACAAGCGCGAAACTCCGTCTCAAAAGAAAAAAGAGTACTGTATCAGGAGTTGAGAAACCCGTTTCTTATTTATGCATTGACTATCCATCATGACAATTCCTAGCTTCAACTTTTTATTTGCCCATAAAATTGGTGATAATACCATTTGTCCTATTTCACAAGGCACTGTAAGGTTCAAGTTAATTGATATTTCAAAAACTCAAAGAGCTAAATAAATGTAAGGTATTATTAATAAAACATACCTTTCACATAATTTGCGATGGCTTCTTTTGTGTCCCTCTCTGGGTCAATGCTGATGAAAAGTGGAGTTAGATTTGGCAGAGTTGGAATGTTATCTGAAAGAGAGTTCCAATTAGTTAGTATTCATACCCTAAGGGAAAAGACAAAACCAGCAATAAGAGGACGTGCTAGACAGCTAGGTGTTTTGAAAACAAAGGAACTTTTTTTTTTAAGAGATGGGGTTTCACCATGTCGGCCAGGCTGGTCTTGAACTCCTGACTTCAGAAGATCCACCCACCTTGCCTCCCAAAGTGCTAAGATTACAGGCATGAGCTACCACACCCAGCCTTAGAGGGACATCTTAACATTCAGATGGAGAGAAAGAGGAAGGGGATGGGATGGGATGGCCTTTAGGAGGAGCAGACCCATATTTGTAGTATTATCTGTGGTGGATAATAGAAGGATACACATCCTATCAAATGCCTGCACCAGTCCATAAATGTTTTTACCCTGGATAATATCATGTGGCTATTTAACTCTTAATCCAATCCATTATCTGTAGGTTTCCTCACTCCGACTGTATCTCAAGGGCAAGAAGGTAAGCTGTTAATAAGAACTGAATATCCTGAAATAATTCACTTTTTGAAGGAGGCACCCTTCTTCCTTACTAGTACTAGTAAAATGCCACAGACTGCAGACTATTTATTGCAAAGGTTCCTAATCTAATTGTCACAGTCACTGGGGAAGAAGCAATGGCAGTGTCAGTGATGCAAGGCTATGATAAAGGAAGGGACACAAAAGCAGAGCTAAGGGAGATGAGGCTGACATTTTTTTAAGTGATCTAACATTTAATGTCAAAACAAGCTTCCTTTGGCAGAGAATCAGGTCACAGGATTCAAACTAAAGGAACTTACTGCTTATTAGACTATGAAAATCTTATCAATAACACTAATTATGCCAAACAAGCCAAATGCTGAGATTTTATGTTCTTACAAATCACAGAATTGCAAAACCCCACCTAACAATAATACAAGAATGTGAAAAACATAGCAACACTAAGTAAACATATACTTTGTATAGTTAGTGATGGCTTTCTTACCTATTTCATCCACGACATGAATCATCTTTTCTAGTTCTTCTGGACAGATATCAGGGCAATGAGTGAAGCCAAAATAAATCAATATCCACTGACCCAGGTAGTCCTTGTCAGTTTTAGGCTCCCCAGTATGAGCTGTGAGGGAAAATGGTCCCCCGAGTAAAGGCTTGCCAATGTGTCGGTGCATTTCTTTTTCTACCTCTTAAAGAGACACAAACATACACACCAAAAAAAAAAAAGTCAGTTTAACCAGAGGTACTCAAATACCTGACATATGGCTAGTACTATGCTAGTCACATTGGGGGCATAAAATGTGGAAAAAATAGTTTCAGTTTTCAAGCTAAAAAAATCTTTTCAGAAAAATAAGCACAAAGCATTACAATAAAAATCAAATGAAATGCTATGGTATGTTGTAAAAAAATTTCTTCTTTTTCAGCAACAATTGACTCCTAAGCCATTAGGTGTGTCCACGCTGGGGGCAGGGAGGAGCCACAGTGGCCTAGAGCTGAATGTCTGAACCAAAGCAGGGTGCAGTGGGTGGCAGGGCATAGGGAGTCTGGTCCTGCAGGTGCTGAGGAGGTCAATTGCATAAGGAGAGGACAGTACTGATGGGACCTTAGTTACACACAGGAAATTGATGAAATAAATGAATATATTAAAGACAAAAAAGTTACAATAGGAGAGGGAGTCAACTAGTACTGGAAATAAACTGGAGGTGCTAGTGTAAGCATCTATCTATATATATATATATATATGCATTTAAAAGAAATACAGATATACATAAATAGATCTATTTTCTCACCATGTCCACTGAGAGGACACAGAGCAGACATACACCAAGAACCATGAGCCCAGAACCTGACTTCTAAATATCATTCTTCACTAAAAGGAAACCGCCGTTTAGAGAAATGGCCGACATCAGGGTTGCAGCAAAGAAAGAGTAAAATGAGGCTAGAACCTCTTGTTGTGGCAGAAGAAAAGCAGAACTCAGAGAACACTGGAAACACAAAGCCTGCATGAAGGGGCTCCCACTCGTCAATCTGGGACAACTTGAGCATCAAAATAAAGAGAATATGGATTAAAACTAAATGAACACACAGCAAACAAGTCCATAGATATAAATAAATGACTTGATGAGAGTCTGATGGGGAACAGAATATGTAAGTATACACATATAAATACAAATCACAAAAGACCATTAATTACATGAGTAACTTTTCAGTAGAAAATCTGTTAGACACCCATTAGTCAAGTGATCAAACTGAGCATTGCCAATAATGGGACAACTGGTACTATGTGGTATGTGACCAGATGCAAGGAGAATACAGCATCACTTTTGTGATGCTCCTGCCAAAGGTATACAACCTGAATGACCTGAATGAGGAAATATCAGACAAATCCAAACTAAGGGGCATTCTACAAAATAACTCTCCTGTAACTGTCAAAGCTGTCAAGGTCATGGGAGTCAGTTAAAGCCTGGGAAGAGACTAAAGAGCTAACAAATAGGTACCAGATAAATGGTTCTGAAATGGATCCTTTTGCTGTGAAAAACCTGAAGTAGCAAAACTTGGAAGACTGAACTCTAATCAAAACCTGAAGACTGTCTGAAGACTGAACAGTAGTAAAATATCAGTGTTAATTTTCTGATTTTGATGGTTGTATTGTGGTTATTTTGGAGAAGGTCCTTGTTTGTAGGAAATATACCAAAAAGTATTTGGAGCTGATGAGGCAACATGTCAGTAAATAAACACTCTTGAATCATTTAGGAAGACTTTAAAGATTATTTCATAATACATTTTTTCAATAAAACAAATGTTAACACTGCAGTTGAAATTCCAAACTAAAGTAAAAAGAACTATATTCTAGAATTTTCCCACCACAAATTTCTTAGCTTTTGTTTCTTTGTGAAACTAAAGGAACTTACTGCTAATTAGAGACTCCAAAGAACAGAAAGATTTAAACAATAAAGATTTACCTAAAAACTTCTAAACCAAATCTTAAAAGTCCTAGGATATTCACTAAAATATAAAGTTCTTATAAACGATTTCTAAATATTTCAAGACGCTAATACAGAGCAGTTCCTGGCATTTCCTGATTAGGCTCTCTTTACCTCCCCTTTATTCACAGGGTGTATGCAGTATCTACTCACACCACGTTCCTTGCCTCATCCCTAGGAAGCCTTCTCAAATACCAAGGCTGGGGCTTCCTTTTGCTCTCAGAACATGCTAAGCTTCTTTCTGGCCTGGCAGAATGGCATCTAGTAAAATCCCTTACTTCTTTGTCTGTTTTCCTGTCATGTGCCGCTCAAAGACTCGACTGCATCTTAGTCATCTTTGTACCTCCAGACTTCATCTTGCCCAGTCAAATCTGTCCACTGCATATCTTTTAATATTGTTAGGCAGTGGTATCCTAGCTTGGATCCTGGAACAGATAAAAGACACTGACAGAAAAACAAGTGAAATACAAATAGAATCTGTAATTTAATTAATAGTTGTGTGCCATTTTAAATTTCTTAGTTATGAAAAATGTTCCATGGTTATGCAAGGTGTTAGTTAATATTAGAGGAAGCTAGGTGAAAGGTATATGGAATCTATGCTATCCTTGCAATTTTTTGGTAAATCTAAAGTTGTTTCAAAACAAAAAGCTTAAAAACAACAAAAAAGGTGGTAGTCCATAGCCAGGAAGAACTTTATTCAGTGCTGACCAGATGATATTTACTTACCCTCTGCCTTTTTCTTCTTAATGTACTTCATTCCAGCCAGTAAAGCTCCTCCAACAGCAAATGTGATTGCTAAAGACTTCCAGGAAACAGGCTACTGGGGCAGGGATTTCAAAAATTAATATTCTAGTAAGATGTAAACATTTAACCATATAAACTTAAGGCAGTGGTTTTCAATATACATATACACAGGCCATGATGTTGTTCAATGTGCAAAATGCTTCAGGGATGAGAAAATACCGTTTCTGTGGATGCAGTTTCGTCTGAAATCTGAATTACAAAGGCCCTCATCTCCAAAGGAAAGTTCCCTAAGTCAGTTTCTCTTCGAGTAAAAAAAACAACCCCCAAAAGCTCAAGTACCATAATGTGACTACGTGTGACCCTGGCTCCAATCGTGATTTAAAAACCAATTAATGGCAGGAGGCAGTAGGTCACGCCTGTAATCCCGGCACTTTGGGAGGCCGAAGTGGGCGATCACCTGAGGTCTGGAGTTAAGAGACCAGCCTGCCCAACACGGTGAAACCCCGTCTCTACTAAAAATGTAAAAATTAGCCAGGCGTAATAGCGGGCACCTGTAAACCCAGCTACATGGGAGGCTGAGACAGGAGAGTAGCTTGAACCCGGGAGGCAGAGGTTGCAGTGAGCCAAGGCTGCCCCCACTGCACTCCAGCCTGGGCAACAGAGCAAATCTCCATCTCAAAAAAAAAAAAAAAAACCTAAACAAAACAAACAAAAAAATAATTATCTGCTTGTGCTGATACTGAGAATACAAACAAACCAAATTTGGGAGGTTAACCTAACTCTGACTTCCGGAAGTAACAAAGCCAAACTAGAAGGGGCACGTAAAAGTGGAGCCTCTTGCAAATCACACCCATTAATTCTTTGTACTCGAATTTATTCAAGTCCCCAAATAAGGAAGATGCTGGGGAACTGGGCCTAACTCATTAACCTTCCCGCAGCTCCGAAAACCCACTTGTCTTAACAGAGGATAGTGGCTCTCAAGTTCTTTCTGGGTCAGAACTAGAATTCGAGAGAAACCTCTCAAAAAAGGCATATCCACACATAACTAAGTTCCACTTTTTGTTTCAATTTCAACGTATACATGGAACCTCTGGAGGGGGTGCAGATGACAAATTATAAGTGTTCTGACTCTTCAGTCACGGTAAACTTCAGGTTCACACCCTTAAGAAAACCCAAAACTTAATTTTTTGGCGGAAAAGCTAACATAAAATCCGAGTCCGGGCACCTAGCCACGTGGAGAGCGTGTAAGTTCTCAAGTTCTCTCTTGAGGACTGGGACTCCCAGCAAAATACGGGGAATGCAGGATGAGATTCCTTGACCCAGGTAACCCGCCCAAGCTGAGGAAAACTTTAGGGCAGGCGGGGTAGTGTCTGAGGTTACGATCAAGTGAGATGTGGCCGCTAGGCTGGCGACAGCCGCGACAAGCACCGGAAGGGTTATGCACTCACCCCAGGCTTCGAGGGGCGCCTGGGGTCTCCGCGGCCCTTCTGCTCGGGACCTGACGACCCCGGGGGTGGCGGCGTCGCAGTGCAGAGGGGCCGGCTTCCCAGCGAGTAGCCAGGAAGCCCCGAGGCCCGCCACGCCTCCTCTTGCCGCGCGCAGAACCGCCTCAGCAAGACTCTCGCAGTCTCTGCGGCCGGGCCCCAGAGCTCGAAACCACGAGGCAAGAGGCGCCAAAACTGGCCACCCAGAGGCCACATAACTCGTCCGGGTACTAGGACCAGCATCGCCATGAGCCTCGGAGACTGGTTTCCTTTGACCCTCCCCGCGATTTCCGGTAACGTTCCGCTTCCTCCGGAAGTCGGAAGGAGCCGCTCTGTCCGTCCCGCTCGATGGTGGCGCGGTTGCATAGCTGGTAGTTAAGGGCCTTTCAGCCGCGGGGCCGGCGCACGGTAGGTAGTTCCTTGCGGCTGGAGGCGGGTTCGGCGCGGGCTGGGCGGTGCTATGGGGCCGCAGGACCGTGGAACCGCGGAGCCCTGGGAAGGGGGTTGCCTTAGGGATCGAGGCTGCGCGGCTGGGCCGAGGCCAGGCAGCCCCGAGCACTGGGGGCGCCCCGCCTTGTTCTCAGACTTAGGTGAGCGCAGCTGGCTTCTCGCCCCGGGGACACCCACAGCTCAGAAGAGAGAATACTCTGCCTAGAGGCCCGTGGGACTGGGCAGCCCCCTTAACCCTATTCTCTGGCTAGCTTGTCAACCTCGTCCTGCTGGCCAAGAGGAAGTGCAAGATTGCTGAGTCCTTTGCATCCTTGATATAGAAACCGACTCATTAGAACTCCAATTTTTAACTTAAAAAAATTGCTAATTATGATAATTTGAGTAGTTAGGGTGGCCTGGAAGGCTTTAAATGCCCAGCACTTCTAGTCATGTAATACTATAATGTAACCTGATTAATAAAGCATAGCAGTGTATAAAGAAGTGTAGACGGCATGATACCTCATCCCTTAACTTCGTCTTCTTGGGACCCAGTTTCTTAAAATACTCTCACCGACTACCTTGCTCCCTACAGTTTCGCGATTTGAAGTTTGTTGATGGGTTCCTCATCTGGAACTGCTTATGTTACGTGGGTACATCCCACGTAGCATATTAATGAGGCCAAGAGCATTCGCAGGTTTTTCGTTCTTGGTGAAAGTCTAACTTCATTCCGTCTGCCTTTATTTATGTGTCAATATCTGCGATATTAATCACTCCCTCCCTGCCCCTACCGCGGTTTTGCTCTTTTTGCCCAGGCTGGAGTGCAGTGGCGCCATCTCGGCTCACTGTAACTTCCGCCTCCTGGATTCAAGCGATTCTCCTGCCTCAGCTACAAGTCATTGGCCCCCACACCCGGCTAATTTTTTGTGAACTTCCCAGCACCATAATGTGTTTGCTTCATTTTTGTTCCAGACTCTTGCCCCTTGTGCCTTACCCCTAACCACAGACATTTCCTGCCCCAACTTTCCTTTTCTCTTTGTGCAGTCTCTGCTTACAAAAGGCTCGCTCACCCACCTTCCTGCACCCTTAGGCTACAAGCCTCTGTTACAATAGTTTCTCTCAACAAAGTCTCTCTTTATTAATCTCTGGACTTCCACTGCTGCCCCCTTCACCTTTGACAATAGAGTGAAGGAAACATGTATTTCAGAGTAGAGCTGCCTTCTTTCTCAAGTTCATTATTGATGCTTGAAGGCTTTCCACAGGGAACTTCAGCCTTCTGCCAGTCTTTATTAGAGAAGTTTTATTACTATGAACTTGTAGCAGCTTTTCAGCAATTAAGCATCCCTGGGTATGGGAAGCCTCAGGCAGATGGATCACTTGAGCCCAGGAGCTTGAGACCAGCCTGGGCAACATGGCGGAACCCCAGCTCTAAAAACAAACAAACAAACAAACAAACAAACAAAAAGCCAGGTGTGGTGGTACATGCCTGTAATCCTAGCTGTAGCTATCAGGCAGGCTGAGTTAGGAGGTCACTTGAGCCCAGGAAGTTGAAACTTATTTTTGTGAGAAACTTATGATTGCGCTACTGTACTCCATCCTGGGGAATGGAGCCAGACCCTGTCACAGAAGAAAAAAAAAAAAAAAAAATCTCTTATGCCTAAGGTGGTTTTTACAAAATGCTGGCTGCTTATCCTGTACCATGACTTGATAGGAATTTTGAGATAAACTTTTATAAAGTTTTCTACATTATTCTCTTCTATTAAAATGTTGCAGTAGTTTCAGTTATCTGAGGCTCATTAGACAATTTTCAGATATGTAATTTAAAAATCATTTTCTTAACACACATATAGTACTTTATGGTTTACAGAGATTTACAAAGTAATAGTTTACTGTGATCATAACTCAGTTGAATCTCACAATAACCTGTTGAGGGTTATTTTGCTCTAGGAAGCATGAGGACTATAATTCAGTTCTGGGTCTTTAATTTCATAGCTTTTGGCACTTCATAATACCTCTTTAAAACTTAGATAATGTAGCATATAATAAATGGTGCAGGCAAACTTTGAAAACAAAGTTCACGAAAAACTTGCCATTCTCCTTTCTGTTCAAAAGCAAAATATCTCCTTAGGTCTACTAATTTTTCCTCATTTGATTTTCTCTAAATTTTTGAAAAAAAATTTTTTTTTTTTTGAGACAGAGTCTTGCCGGAGTACAGTGGCACCAGGCAGGAGTACAGTGGCGTGATCTCTGCTCACTGCAACCTCCATCTCCTGGGTTCAACCAATTTCCCTGCCTCAGCCTTCTGAGTATCTGGGACTACAGGCGCACACCACCAGGCCCCTGGATAATTTTTTTTTTTTTGGTATTTTAGTAGAGATGGGGTTTCACCATGGCCAGGATCGTCTGGATTTCCTGACCTCATGATCCACCCACCTTGGTCTCCGAAAGTGCTGGGATTACAGGCATGAGCCACTGTGCCCGGCCTGAATTTTTTTAAAAAAAAACTTTACATATACATTTTTAAACACACATAAAAGTAGTTAGAATAAACCTTACCTACCCATTTCTAGCTTCAACAATTATCTTCTCACTGATATTTTTTGTATCTGTATTTGGTAGAGAGAGGGGGCTATTTTGAAAAAATTTCCTGACATTAGAATGCTTATTAATTCTAAGTTTCCTCGCTAGAGGTGGTTTTGAGTTTTTGATCTCTCTGTTCACCAGGACCAATCTTTCTGATCTCCCCCAGCATCTCCCTGAACCATGAAAGGAAAGGTTGAACTAGCCAGAAGAGTCAATTCCCTGCCCACCTGGTTCTTTTTGCCCTACCTTACTCACTTCTGATCCTGTCTGTCCCTGAATACGTTTGTGAAATCTGAAATGCCCCCAAGTCAGAAACTTGAGCACCAACGTGAAGCTCAAAGGAAGTGCTCACTGGAGCATTTCAGATTTTGGATTTTCAGATCAGAAATATTCAACTAGGCCTGGCGCAGTGGCTCATACCTGTAATCCCAGCGCTTTGGGAGGCTGAGGCGGGCAGATCACCTGAGGTCGGGAGTTCAAGACCAGCCTGACCAACATGGAGAAACCTGTCTTTACTAAAAATATAAAATTAGCCGGGCGTGGTGGCACACCCCTGTAATCCCAGCTACACCAGAGGCTGAGGCAGGAGAATTACTTGAACCCAGGAGGCAGAGGTTTTGGTAAGCTGAGATCGTACCATTGCACTCCAGGCTGGGCAACAAGAGTGAATCTCCATCTCAAAAAAAAAAAAAAGGAATGCTCAACTATTAAGTATATTCCAAAATCTGAAAAAATCCGAAATCCAAAACACTTCCGGTCCCAAGCATTTTGGATAAGGGGATACTCAACCTGCCTAAATGGCTGCCTCCTTACCCCTAACTTTACTTTTAAAAGCTGTATGTATTCAGCCCTTTGGGTCTTTCTTTTTACCCCAGAACACATTTTTATTTTGAAGTGTGTGCCCCTTGGTGCTTCTCTCCACATTGCTTAACTTTCCTTAAAAATTGACAATTCTTAGGATAGCTTTGAGTTTTTCTAAACTGACCTGTGTTCCAGTGGAAGGTGTATTTGAGAGGCTTTTGGTATCAAATGACAGAAAATCAATTTGGTTTAGCTTTAAGCTCAGGAGAATTTATTGCCTCCTCCTCATCCATTAGTTAGATATAAACTGTGAGAAACTTATTTTGGGTGACCTACCCACCAAGGAAGAGAAAAGACTCATCCCGACACAAAATAATGCATAATAGGAATCTTTTACAACATAACATACAATGAATGAATGTCATATATAGCTTTCCAAAAAAAAAAAAAACTTAAATTTTTGATAGAATTATTTGGTGTTTGTGGGAGAGGGGTTTTGCATCTGTGTGTGTATTTAAAATGAATATGTATTTCTCAACACTCAGCAATTATTCCAGGTTTAAATTTGGCTTTATTAGCATTAGAATCCCTATTTATTGGTAGGATACTACCCTTTTGTCAATTGTTACTATTCTGAAAGATAGAGACTATCATCTGTTTTACAGAAGAGAAAACAAGCATTTTAGAGGCTTAGTAATTTAGACCGAAGATTGTTGGATTCTAAAGCCCATGTACTTTTTCCTGTATCAAGCTACCTAATGAATTAACCTTTAAGTTTAATATTCTCTATCATTTTCTTCAGTGAAATTGGGAAATTAAAATGTTTATAATTTAGTTACTATTATTATTTTTTTACTTTAGTTTATTTAGAAACCTGTTAGGAGGTTATGGATGATAAACCCAATTCTGAAGACCTAAATGAGAATTCAGAGCATCTTTTCTCCTTTGGAGTTATCGCAGATATTCAATATGCTGACTTGGAAGATGGCTTTAATTTCCAAGGAACCAGGCGGCGATACTACAGACATAGTCTTCTTCACTTACAGGGTGCCATTGAAGACTGGAATAATGAAAGCAGCACACCCTGTTGTGTCCTTCAGCTTGGAGATATAATCGATGGATATAATGCACAGTATAATGCTTCAGAAAAGTCCTTAGAAGTTGTTATGGACACATTCAAGAAGCTTAAAGTTCCAGTTCATCATACATGGGGAAACCATGAGTTCTATAACTTCAGGAGAGAATATTTAACACACTCTAAACTTAACACAAAGTTTCTAGAAGACCAGATTGAACATCATCCCAAGACCATGCCTTCAGAGGATTACTATGCTTATCATTTTGTACCATTCCCTAAATTCCGGTTCATTTTACTTGATGCATATGACTTGAGTGTCTTGGGCATGGATCAGTCTTCTCCAAAATACCAGCAGTGTATGAAGATACTGAAGGAGCACAATCCAAATATGGAACTGAATAGTCCTCAAGGTGAATTATTTCTTTGAGCTGAGAATCTAATAGATTGTCTTTAAATTCTTCAGCTACCTTTTATTCAGCAGGAAGATGGACAATTAAGGTAAAAGTATACTGTCACTTGTTCAGGGTCAGGATTTCTCACAGCCTGCTCTCACATGGATTGGTTATAGTTCATTCAAGATTGAAAATCAAACAGATATTTTAAATGCCTGTACTAGGCCAGGCAGTTTTTCTAGGGCTTGCTATTCAGAGCTGTAAATAATACTAACAATACCACTTTTTTGATGCATGGAATGGAGGGAACAAACACAGTAAATGGGCACGGCAGATGATAAATGAAACAGAAACAAGATTATTTCTACGGTCATAAGTGCTACCAAGGAAATAGAGTATGATGTTATAGAGTGTTATCGAAAAGGATTAGGGTTACTATTTTAGATTAGGTGATCAGGGAAAGCATCTCCAAGGAGAAGGATATTTAAGCCAAGACCTAAATGACAAGGAGGAGTCTTCCTTGGAAAGAATGGGCATAGGGATTTAGCAGACAGAGGGAAAAACATGCAAAGGCACTAAATAGACTAAGACTTGAGCATTTTTGAAGAGTACAGGAAAAGGCCAGTGGAGTACAAAATGATTTTGGAATGTAAACAGAGCCAAGAATATGTAGTGACTCAGTGGACTTAGTAAGTTTGCATTTTTAATATAATGGAAAGCCAGCCAAGTTAGTAGGGACTGTCAGGATTAGGAGTGAGATGCAGTGTGATTCATTTATATATTTTTCTAAATGCTTGTGATTTCCTATTTTAAGTTGATTGTTGCTAATCAAATATTCCTAAAGAAAAACAAGCATCCTTACATTAACTAGATTTGAATGTCCAAATTAGGGGAAAAATGACTTTTGATGGGTCTAAAATTACTGAATTCATTTCAGGACTTTCTGAGCCCCAGTTTGTCCAGTTTAATGGAGGATTCAGCCAAGAACAGCTAAACTGGTTGAATGAAGTGCTTACATTCTCTGATACAAACCAAGAAAAGGTGGTGATTGTGAGTAAGTATTTAAATTACCTGATTACACTGACATTTTAGAGATTCGGAAAAATTAGGCATTAAAGCATACTAACAATATTTGTGTTTCGACATCCTCCTTCTATAAAATGGACACTTAAAAAATTTTTATTCAGAAACCACCTGAATGTAAGATGAACATTTAAGGATGAACCAAGAAAGAAACGTAAATAACAGAAACATCTTGCCATATATGGAGCCTGTGAGTTGGCCCTTTAGGTTCTAAGTCAAATTTCCTCAAGTGAGGTCAGTTTATGAAGTAACTTCTTTTTTAAACATTAATATTATTATTGAAATCATTGTAGATTCACATGCATTTATAAGAAATAATTCAGAGAGGCCAGGTGTGGTGGCTCAAGCCTGTAATCCTAGCACTTTGGAAGGCCGAGGCGGGTGGATCACAAGGTCAAGAGATCAAGACCATTCTGGCCAACATTGTGAAACCCCGACTCTACTAAAAATACAAAAATTAGCTGGGTGTGGTGGCGCATGCCTGTAGTCCCAGCTACTCCGGAGGCTGAGGCAGGAGAATTGCTTGAACCCAGGAGGCGGAGGTTGCAGTAAGCCGAGATTGCATCACTGCACTCCAGCCTGGCACCTGGCGACAGAGCTAGACTCTGTCTCAAAAAAAAAAAAGAAATAATTCAGAGCAATCTCTTAGCTGTTTTGCCCCGTTTCCTCCAATGTTAACATTTTGTAAAACTTTAGTATAATATCTCAAGTAGAATATTGACATTAATACAAAAATAAAAACTCCAAAAGTTTGGCTTTCTCTAAGTTTTTTTTTTTTTTTAATAAACCTTTTCTCCATAGGAGAAGCAAGAACCAAAAGGTGAAATGACTTCACCGTGATAACTAAGACATAAAAATTGCCAAGAAACAACTCAAAATTAAAACATGTTGAATTCAGCCTGACTAACATGGTGAAACCTCATCTCTACTAAAAACATGAAAAAATTAGCAGGGCATGAGCCTGTAGTCCCAGCTACTTGGGAGGCTGAGGCAGGAGAATCGTGTGAACTGGGAAGCAGAGGTTGCAGTGAGCCGAGATCATGCCACAGCACTCCAGTCTGGGTGACAAAGCGAGACCCTATCTCAAAAAAATAAAAACAAGCTGAATTCTAATGTATGGAATCCCGGTTGCGATCAGCTTAATAAAGGAGATGGCACACTAAACAATTTATTAGTGGAAGTCAATACCAGGGCTTGGATCCTTTCCTCAAAGTAGGAAGCCCTGAGCTTCTTAAACTCTAATGAAGTAATTTCAAAGTGAGAAATTCAGTTCGGGCCCATACCAGATCTCAGCTTTAGAGACCTGCCTATCAGCAAAGTGGCCACTGAACAGAGGCCACTGCTGCCTAGATGCAGCAAAACTGGTACCACAGGATGTGTGGTACAGGCTCAGCTGGCAGTGCGCACTTTCCATTCTCTAGCTGTGCCTCCCACATGGTCACAAGGAAGTTAGATTTACATTATTTTCATTTAGAATTGTTTTTAGTGGAAACACTGCCGTCAGAGATTGTAGGAATCTAGGGGTGCTTAAAACATACATATGTGGATGTGCATGTGTGAAAATGCATACACAACTGAATTTGAATTTGCAGCATGGCTGGGAGACTTGGTTTGGAGGTTGAGATTAGAGCCCTTGTTTTAGAATTAGATGCTGTGGGATAATAGTTTAGAAGGCTGGACTGAGAGCCAGAAGGACAGGATGCCATTCTGGCTCTTGTTTTTATGAACTGTGTGGTCCTGGGCAAATAGCGAACCTGCAAACGGCAGTGTTCTGAATAGTGTATCTAATGAAATTATGAATATGAAACCCCTTTGAAAATGATAGGGCATTCAGAGAGATAATTAGATAAAACTATATTTCTATCTATAAAGGTAGTTTTTCCTTATTAATCTTCCACTAATGGGGTAAAAACACATAGATGGAGCAGAAGTGTTTCTGCTCCCATTGGAATACCAAGTGTCTTTTAAAGGTTGGAAGAGATGTGCACCCTCGGGTTGTTGGAATGATGTGACTCCCTATGGCTCTATAATAAGTCATCTGAGTAGGATAATTCTCGTGTCTGCTTTTAAGTTTTCCACTGCCAGCCTGTACTGGAGCTGAAAGGAACCTAGAGATCATATAGCAAAACTGTTGAATTTTAAAGATAAAGAAATTGAAGCCCAAAGAGATTGAAGCATAGCACAGTCACGTAGCTACTGACAGCACTGTGATAAGAATCCATGCTTTATGTCTCAGTCTCCTTTCCTATGCGATGCTGGTTTCTTCCCTTTTTTTATTCATGGCAGTACACCTATCTGATTTAGCAGTCTCTTAAGTTTCTTCTACTATTTGCTGTAAGCTTAAAAACTGGAAAAGCAAACTTAACAACTGCATAATTCAAGTTTTCTTTAGTAAAGTTTAAAAGTTAAAGTGTAATAGATTTCTTAACTTTGATTGTGGCTACTCCAAGGTCATCCTACTTTTTGAATTTTGGCTGGGCATTTGGAAGGACAGAATTGCCATTAGCTGAGATAGGGGACACTGCAGGACGAGAGGTTTGAGTGGAGAGGACAGGTGTTCAGGTTTGGAACCTGTTAAGTTTCAGATGCTTACTAGACATCATTCGAGATGCTGAGTGGCCAGTTCAGACATCAGAAGTCTGAAATTCAGAATAGAGATTTGGGCTAGCTATATAAATGTGGAAATTGAAAGAGTATTTAGATGACATTTAAGGCGTGTAAATCACTAAGAGATCACGAACGCATTAGGTATGAATAGAGAAGTCACTCTAACTTCAATGGCCACTAATTTCCAATCCCCTGAATGCAGGGACCAAGCATTCAGGCACTCCTGGTAAGACCTTGGGGAAATGAGAGGAAACCAGCAAAGGAGATTGGAAATTAGTGGCCATTGAAGTTAAGAAAAAACTAGAAAGACACCACTAGGAAAAACAGTGGTGTCTTGAGAGCTAAGTTTTTCAGAGAGAAGGGAACAACTAATTGTGTCAAATGCTGCAGGGACTTGATAGATGAGTCAGTATGGCTTCCAGATACTCACATGCCTTTGGATGCTTAGCGGTAATCAGCGCATGTAAGCACTTTTTAAAAAAAACTTGTATTAAAAATAGGTATTAAGCAGAAGCGTGTTTACATTTTAGAATAAAAATGAACAGTAATAGAAAAAAAGTGATTTAATGGGAAGATGCAGTGTGAGCTGTGCTTCAGAGTGAGTACCATGGCCTGATGTATGGTATAAGCTCATAGATGTGTTGCCGTTAGAAATTCGAAAATCTGCTTCTGCATACTTCCTGTGGACTCCAGAGTAAATCTTCTTTGTTTTAACTCAGTTTTTCATCTGTAAAGTAGGTATGGCTACCTTGATGTAATGGGTGTTTAAAATCCCATAAATCAGTTCTGAGACATTGTTTATATAAATGGCACATAATCCATGGTCCATCCCTAAATGTTCGTTCATTCATTCATATTTACATTTTCATTTTTCAAGGTGGAGTCTTGCTTTGTCACCCAGGCTAGAGTGTGGTGGTGTGATCTTGGCTCACTGCAACCATCCCTTCTCAGGTTCAAGCAATTCTTCTGCCTCAGCCTCCTGAGTAACTGGGACTACAGATACCTACCACCATGCCTGGCTGATTTTTGTTTTTTTAGTAGAGACAGGGTTTCACCATGTTATTGGTTCTGAACTCCTAACCTCAGGTGATCCTCCTGCCTTGGCCTCCCAAAGTGTTGGGATTACAGACATGAGCCACCGCACCCGGCCTGTTCTTTTATTTGGTGTTACATAATTCTGTGTATATAACATTCACATTTAAGGAAATCAGTGGGATTGGATTCCAGCACAGCATCTGCCCAATTTCTGGCTGCCTCTGCAGACTGTCCTACATAGGACACCCTCAGTCTTCCTTGGTGTTTGGGCAACTTGAGATGACGTAGGTCTCAGAGGTTCAGGTTTTGCTTCTACAGCAGCTTGTCACACGTCATGTGAACTGTCTCACCCTTCTTCCATGCTTCAGAGACGTAGCTGTAGGTGGCCTAGTGTTTTCATGGGTGTGAATTCCCTCTCGTCACTTCATTTGCATAATGAGGTAGCAATTTTTTTTTTTCTTTTTCTGAGTGCTAGCTTTTAGCCATTTATTTTTATAGAAGAGAGGTTTCTTAATTGGCTCATAACTCTTCTTTTCTTTAACTAACAGGCCATCTTCCCATTTACCCTGATGCCTCTGACAGTGTGTGTCTGGCCTGGAACTACAGAGATGCCTTGGCAGTCATTTGGTCTCACAAGTGTGTGGTGTGTTTCTTTGCTGGTCACACCCATGATGGTGGCTACTCTGAGGATCCTTTTGGTGTATACCACGTCAACCTAGAAGGAGTTATTGAAACAGCTCCAGACAGCCAAGCTTTTGCCACAGTTCACGTCTATCCTGACAAAATGCTGTTGAAAGGGAGAGGCAGAGTTCCAGACAGAATTATGAATTACAAGAAAGAGGCTGGGAGTGGTGGTTCACGCCTGTAATCTCAGCACTTTGGGAGGCCGAGGTGGGTGAATCACCTGAGGTCAGGAATTCGAGACCAGCTTGGCCAACATGGTGAAACCCCGTCTCAAAAAGAAAAAAAAAAAAAAAGAAGAAAGAGCCTTCCATTGTTGGTCTTAATTTATATTAACTTGATAGAAAACGAGCTTTGTCTTTGTTCCCCCAGACAAACAAACAAAAAAAATCCTGGGTCTCATTGTTTAGTATTCAGCTTGTGTAACAAAATGTATTCATAGTTTCAGTGTGTGTTGGTTGATAAAGTATTCAGAAATGTCATTTTGGATAAAGTATCCATTGTAAGTTAGAAACACAGTAAACTAGGGAGGAGACTGAGCAGGGGTGTATAGTCCTCATAAAGGGCTTATAGTCCTCATGAGGGATTTTATTTGGCCTAACCTGATTTTTTAACTTTTTACAAGGAGAATGTATTCACGTTTATTAACTATGTAACTTCAAGTTCACCATATAAGCTCAGGTAAACTTTTTCCGTTCACCCTGCTGTGTAACTGAGCTTTGGAGAATTTTTGCTCAGAACACCTACACTTGGATTTTTATAAGCTTGTTTTCCCATTTTGTAAACAAAATTACCAACACATATTTCACAGTGAGTGTGTGGCGCTCCCATCCCTGTAAGAAGGGCCTTCAGAAAAATCATATTGTCCTCTTGTGATTCGTAGGACAAGTGGCAGTGCAGCCGTGTGCCAGCCAGCTTGGTCTCTTTGGGTCACCAACTAGTGCTGGGTGAACCTACAGCAGGTAAATGAATTTACACTGACTCCCTTTGTACACTAATGGGAGATGCTTAACACCGTTTTCATATATGTTAAGGCTTATGTGCAGAAACACTAGATGGCAAATGGGGACTACTCAGGTGTGGAGAAAGATTGATAGAGCGCCCAAAACATAATAAAAAATAAGCATGCCAGTTGAATACATGGGCACTAAAGGGGTATAAAGGAGTATTAGCTTTCTATGGCTGCTGTTAGAAATCAAACCTGGTGGCTTAAAACAATACATTTGTTCTCTTGCAGCTTGGAGGTCAGAAGTCTGAAATCATTTCCGCTTGGCTGAAACCAAGGTATTGGCATGGCCATGCTCCCATAGGAGGGTCTAGGAAGAATCCTCTTCCAGCCTCCAGAGCTGTACTTTTGCATTCTGTGGCCCACAGCCCCTTCTTCCATATTCAGAGCCAGCAGTGTTGCAGCTTCAAATCTTTTACTGTCATCTCATATTCTCTGCTGTCCGTAGTCAGATCTGCTTCAGCCTTTGTCTTGCAAGGACACTTGTAGTAACCTTTGGGACCCAACCAGATAATTCAGGTAACCCCCATCTCATGATGGCTTAATTACATCTGCAGAAATTATTTTGTGATATAAGGTACCATAGGTTCCAGGGATTAGGACATGGATATAGTTGTTCAGCTGACCACAGAGGTGACTATAATGTACTTCTGCACTCATAGACCTTACCATGAATTAAACAGACATCCATGATTTAAATATGTGAAATTTGTGGTCACACAAAGGACCAAGGGAACATGGAAGATTACTTTTGTTCGAAGGGATTGGGGATAACATACAAAATGAAGAAAAATGTCTTGAATAAGTAGAGAAGAGTATATCAAGAAGAACAGCAAAAGCAGAGGCATCAAAAGGTATGCTGAAATTAGATGTGGCAAGTCATGCTGTGACGATTCACCAAAAAGGTGCCAGGTTGGAGGCAGGGGGATATGGCAAGAAATATGGCAGAAAAGGACTGGCTGGGGCCATATTACGGAGAGCCTTGAATGATGAGCCAAGAGTTAGACTTTAACTTGCCAGATAGTATGGAGTCCTTAGAGCTTTCTGAGCTGTGTGAAGTAGAGAACAATGGAAGAAAAATGTGGAGGTGTGAAAGATTTTAGCAATAGAGGCCAGGCGGGTGGCTCATGCCTATAGTCCCTGCACTTTGGGAGGCTGAGGTGGACAGATCACTTGAGCTCAGGTGTTCAAGACCAGCCTGGGCAACATGGCAAAACCCTGTATCCACAAAAAATTTAAAAAAATTAGTGATGCGCACTTGTAGTTGAGGCTGAGGTAGAAGGATCACCTGAACCTTGGGAGGTCAAGACTGCAGTGAGCTGTGATTATGCCACTGCACTCCAGCCTGGGTGACAGTGAGACTTTAAAAAAAAAAAAGATGGGGGCTGTAACTCTCTCTTGATCTTCTATTTCAGTATATTACCCAATCCCTGCTCCCCTCTATTTTAATCATCTGCAGCCCTCTGTAATATTTCTGAACACTTTGTATCTTCAGAGTGCTCTTACATTATCTAGATTGATCCTTGCAACTATATGAATAGATCTGGTATTAATCCTATTTTATAGATAAAGAAATACCCACCAGGGGGGTTATATATTTGCCCAAATTAAATAGTTACAAAGGTGAGTAGTTAGAACTTGCATTTAAACTTCTATTCTCTAGCTTTTTCCACTACATTATGACACAAGACCCTGCATAAAGGCTTCCAGAAAATATCAGACTGTTTCTCACTTGTCCCATCCAATCTTATATCAAATAAATTGTATGCAGCCTTAAAAAGTTATTTGGAATTTTTAAAAACTCTGTTAGCCCAAATTACCTGAAATAAACTCCTGAAAACTGGAGTTTATAAAATATTTATAATGTTCCCCTAATGTTTATAAAAAATTGACTGAAAACACTCATTTTAAAAATGAAATTCTTGAATTTATTTAAATTACTGTCTTGCAATGAGTTGGCCAGGAGGACCGCATTTCCTTGTTAACATATATGTAGACCCATGAGATAAATGGGAAAAGTGTGATTACAATGGCAATAGCCAATTGAATTCTTCCACCAGCTGGATTCCTATAAAGACACAAAAATTATTATAAATAAAAATCCAATAAAAAGTATGGATTGCTTTGGAAAGAAGTATAAAGACTGACTTGATAAAACACATAGTTACATTTTAGTATGTTCTCATCTCAGTTGTTTTATAGAAATATAACATTAATTTGTAGAAATTCTTTATATATATACTAAATGTAAATCCTTGTTTATATGTGTTACAAATACCTTGTCCCACTTGATGTCTTTTGAGGAACAGAAGTCATTGATTAATTTGACAATGGTAAAGTTGATCTTTTCCTAATGATTTTTGAGTTCCATTTAAGAATTTCCCTCACCAAAGCCTGGAACGTATTCTATTTTCCAGTATAAGCTTTATTGTTTTGCTTTTTTATAATCTGTGATCCCCTTGGAATTGATTTTTATGAAAGTTGTGAAGGTAGGGTTCACTATTTTTCCAAGTGGATATTAAATTTATCTAAGCCTATTTATTGAAAAGACTGACTTTCTTTGCTACCTTGAAGTACCATCTTTGTCAGAAGTCAGAACTACGGATGTATAGATCTGTTTCTAAATTCTACTCTGTTCTATCATTTTATTTATTCATCCATTTGCCATTATATGGTTAGCCTTCCAGTTATTTCGGTTTTCTTCAGTTTCTCCCTTAATGTGTTACAGTTTTCTGTGTAGAGATTTTGCTGTCTCTGCTAGACTGGTTCCTAGGGAGTTGAGTTTTTGAATGTTTTTATTAATGGTAATTTTTTGTTTTATCACTTGTTATTTGCTGATAGAAATGCAGTTGATTTTTGTATCCTGATCCAGTGACCATACAAAACTCACTTATTCTAGTAATTATTTAGATTCTTTTTTATTTTCTATACATGTCACCCACAAATAATGAAAATTTTATTTCTTCTTGTCTAATCCTTGTGTACTTTATATCTTTTTCTTGCCTTATTTTACTGGCTGGGACAATAGCTAGGATGGCATTGAATAGAAGTGGCAGTATGGCCAACCTCATCTTATTCCTGATCTGAGAGAGAAAGTTTTCAACTGTTTACCATTAAGTCTCAGGCTTTAGTGCAGATATCCTCTATCAGGGTTAAGTTCCCTTCTACACTCACTTTCTAAGAGTTTTTAACATGAATGGATGTTGAATTTTATGAAATGCTATTTCTGTATGGATCTAGAAGATAAGTTATTTTCATTCCATTAATGTGGTGGAAAACATTGGTTGTTTTTTTTAATGTTAAACTAACTTTGCATTCCTAGAATAAACCAGACTTGGTGGTTGGGTTATACATTGCAGGATTTGATGTGTTGCTTAGGAATTTTCCATCTGTAGTCATGAGTGAGATTACCATGTAATTTCTTTCTTTTTTGTCATGTTCTTATCAAGTTTTGATTATCTGTCCTCATAAAATTAGTTGGGAAGTATTTCTTCTTTTTCTGTTCTCTGAAAGTATTTATTGAAAGTTGGTATTCTTTTTTTCCTTAAATGTTATGTAGACTTCTCCAACTATAAAATTCAAATTATGAACTCAATTTCTTTAATAGTTATGGGACCATTCTGAGTATTTCTTCTTGTGTAAATGTTGGTAAACTGTATTTTTTCAAGATATTTGTCTAATTTATAGTTTCAAATTTATTGGTGTAAAGTCTTCATAATATCCACTTATGATTTTTACAATACTTATTAGATACATAGTAGTATTCTTTTTTATTCCTGACATTTGTTATTTGTACTTCCTCATGATCTTTTTTTCCTTTTTGTCTTGTCAGTCCTTATCAATGTTATAAATCATTTCAAATAATCAATATTTGACCTTAATTCTCTATTTTTATGTTGATTTTTTTATTTCACTGATTTCTGTTTTTATATTTATTTTCCTCTTGTTTCTTTGGGGTTTAACTTGCTGTTCTTTTCCTAATTTCTTGAAATAAAAAATTCCTAACTCCTGGGAGCTTAAAAAATAAATGTACTTAAGGCTCTATGTTTCCCTCTAAGCATGATTTTTAGCGGCATCTCACACTTTTTGATATATAATATTCACCTTATTCAGTTCAAAATATTTTCCAATTTCTATTGTGATTTCTTCTTTGACCCAAGTGTTATTTGAAACTGTATTTCCTAACTTCCAAATATATAGGAATTGCCTAATTATCTTTTTGGTAATGATTTCTAGCTTAATTGCACTGTGGTCAAAGAACATACTCTGTAGGATTTCAGTCCTTTGAAATTTGTTGGCACTTATTTCATGGCCAAACATATAGTCATTTTGTAAAATACTCGATGTACTCTTGAAATGTGTATCCTGCCATTATTGGTTTCTTAATATGTGGTTAAAATATTTTATATCATTATTTTTATTTTTTGTGTTTGTTAGTAACTGAGAGAAGTGTGTTAGTCTCCCAAAATGACTGGCTTTTTCCATTTTTCTTCTTAGTTTTGTCAATTTGTGTTGTATTTATTTGGTGGCTGTGTTATTAGGTCCATACAAATGTAGCATTGTTATATCTTCTTGATGAACTGAACCTTTTGTCATTAAAAAGTGTCTTCTTGGGCCGGGTTTGGTGGCTAACACCTGTAATCCCAGCACCTTGGGAGGCTGAGGCAGGCAGATCACAAGGTCAAGAGATCGAGACCATGCTGGCCAACATGGTCTCTACAAAAAAACACAAAAATTAGCTGGGCATGGAGGCACACTCCTGTAGTCCCAGCTACTCAGGAGGCTGAGTCAGGAGAATTGCTTGAATCTGGGAGGTGGAGGTGGCAGTGAGCTGAGATTGCGCCACTGCACTCCAGCCTGCTGAGAGAGTGAGACTCTGCCTCAAAAAAAAAAAAAAAAAAAAGTGTTTTCCTTTGGCATATTAAATCTACTTTCTAATATAAAATTGGATTTGTTCTTCATACCATTACACCAGAGTAAATTCTAAACAGATAAAATATTTAAATGTACAAATGAAACCATACAGGTATTAGATGAAAACTTAGGTAAGTTACTTTACGACCTGAGAGAAGGTTTTCCTAACTATGACTCCAAATTCAGAAGCAATTAAGGAAAAGAACTGGTAAGTACAATTACATAAAATAAAAAGATAAAAAAATAAAAGACCTTTTCATGGCAAAGCCTTTGCCTAAGCAAAGTGAAAGGAAAATAAAAAACTGTAAAAAAATCTTTTCGGCTTACATCACAGACGGAGCTTCTAAAAACAGAAAAGACTAACAACCTTAGAATCAGGTTAAACCTACATTGCTCAGAGATAGACCAAGATTTTTTTATAGAAAAATAAATACAAATGGCTCCTAACCACTTGAAAATGTGCTCACTTTTGCTCTTAATAAGAGAAATGTAAGTTAAAACTACCCCTTTTCTCAACTATCCGATGAATAAAAATTCAAGGTTTTGATAATATACTCTGTTGGCAAGGCTATGGGGAAACAGACACTGTTAGCCATGGCTGGGGGGGATGCAAAATGGAGGAGCCATATGGAAGAATTTGGGAGTAAATAGAAAGTTTTTTCTTTGAGATGGAGTCTTGCTTTGTTGCCAGGCTGGAGTGCAGTGGTGTGATCTTGGCTCACTGTGACCTCCGCCTCCCAGTTCTGGCGATTCCCCTGCCTAGCTTCCTGAGTAGCAGGGACTACAGGCACACGCCACCACACCCAGCTGTTTTTTTTTTTTTTTTTTGTATTTTAGTAGAGACTGAGTTTCACCATGTTGGCCAGGATGGTCTCAATCTCCTGACCTCGTGATCCACCCACCTTGGCCTTAACTATCTGATGAGACAGAGTCATGCTCTGTCTACTATCTCCATAGCAGAGGACTGGGTGATTAAACTATAGAGCTATCAGCAGAATAAGAAAAGTTTTTCTATACTATAGAATGATCTCCAGGATATAAGTGGAAAAGCAAGTGGAATACAACTGTATACAATACACTGCCAGTTACCTAAGGTAAGCAGGAATAGAACTAACTGCACACATTCGCTCCACTGAAAAATCATGGAAGGATAAAGTATAAAACTGAAAGAAGTTTTCCCTGTAGGGAAAGGGAAGATACAGGGTTAGGGGGCTGGAGAAGCTACATTTCTTTTGTTTTTTTTTTTCTTTCTTTTTCCACCTGGTTTTACTGGATAGATTTCTTTTACTATATCTTATTTTATAGATTTGACTTTCAAGCCATGCAGATATTTTACATAACTATAAAATAGTATATTTTTAATACAGTTATCCCTAGAAATAAATGAACCTATGTATTCAATTGGTGGCATTAGCATACAGAACAATTATGCCCAGTAATTTGAGTGTACATCCCTTAGTAGGTTACACTCTAATAAACAAAAACAAAAGAACCTGTTTTCGTTAGTCATATTATTATTTTGAGACTGCATTTGCATTGTAGAATAAATCAAATGGGTGATTATGTTGAGGTCACTGAGGCTAGAGAGTTTGCCACGATTAAAAGGAGATACAGATATAAAATGTCCAATAAGGTTAATGAGAACGGGTGCCTCTGAATTTGAGTAGTTAGTATAAACTCATATAACTTTAAATGTATACATGTACATATATATGTACCTATGTATGCATATACCTTTACGACATATATATGAATTCATAAACATTGCAAACACTGCTGATTCCAGGTCTGTGGCGTAAAACATGATCCTGGGCATAACATGCACTTTCTGGCTTAACATCTTGTCATACCAGAAAGCAAGGAAGCCATCAAAGATTTACTAGGGTCATGTCAGAAAGAATTCAGGAGCCAACCTGAGTAAGTGCCACTGGCCAAAAATGGGAGGGTGTGAGCATCAATAAAGACAATAACGGTCATGGACTGAAACACATCAAATATGTTAAAATAGGCCAGATGCAGTGGCTCACGCCTGTAATCCCTGCACTTTGGGAGGCTGAGGCAGGCAGATCATGAGGTCAGTGGTTCGAGACCAGCCTGGACAACATGGTGAAACCCTGTCTCTACTAAAAATACAAAAATTAGCTGGGCGTGCTGGTGTCCGCCTGTAGTCCCAGCTACTCAGGAGGCAGGAGAATTGCTTGAACTTGGGAAGTGGAGGTTGCAGTGATCTGAGATCCTGCCACTCCACCACTCCAGCCTGGGTGACAGAGTGAGACTCTGTCTCAAAAAAAAAAAGTATGTTTAAATCCATGACTTTTTAATGGTACTAAACAAAAATAAAGAAACAAAACTCGTTGGTCACTTTTGGAGAATGCCCAGGTAAGAAACAATACATTTTAAAAACTGGTAACTAGGCTGGGCGCAGTGGCTCATGTCTGTAATCCTGGCACTTTGGGAGGCTAAGGTGGGTGGATCACCTGAGGTCAGGATTTCGATACCTGCCTGGACAACATGGCGAAACCATATCTCTACTAAAAATACAAAAATTGCCCGTAATCCCAGCACTTTGGGAGCCAAGGTGGGTGGATCACTTGGCTAGGAGGTTAGGAGTTTGAGACCAGCCTGGCCAATATGGTGAAATCCTGTCTCTAGTAAAAGATACAAAAATTACCCGGGAGTGGTGGCCTCCAACTGTAGTCCTAGCTACTGGTGAGGCTGAGGCAGGAGAATTGCTTGAAAGTGGGAGGCAGAGGTTGCAATGAGCCGAGATTGTGCCACTGCACTCCAGCCTGGGTGACAGAGCAAGACTCCGTCTCAAAAAAAAAAAACCACACACACGCACAAAAATTATCCAGGCATGGTAATGTACACCTGTAGTCTCAGCTACTTGGGAGGCTGAGGCAGGAGAATTGCTTGAACCTGGGAGGCAGAGGTTGCAGTTGCAGTGAGCCAAGATCATGCCACTGCACTCCACCCTGAGCAACAGAGCAAGACTGTCTGAAAAAAAGAAAAGGAAAAAAAAGGAAACTGGTAACTAAGGGAGAGAATTAACTTTTTTTCCTTTCATTTTATTCTGATGATCTATACCTTGGAGTAGCCAACAGATAAATAAGTGGACATTTCTCTTTATAGTTTTCCAGCTCATAAACAAGTAGTGATATAATTAGAATATCACAGTTTTGCAAACCAAACCAACTAATGGATTTAGGCAATACTCAACAAAGACTATTAACATCACAGATAAGCAGCTGGGTATTATGTATATTATAATGGGAATACATAACATCATTACTTAACATGAAGTAATCAATAATAATGCCAGAATCTCATCAAGTCTTTAGATGTAACAACCAATTTACAGAAAACATAAGGCGCAAAAGGACAAACATTTAAAACTCACAATACTGAAGTTATTCCTTCATTTTTTGTATGATGATGGTAGAGTAGTTTTTAAGCGCTTATCTTTTAGAGATACATTCTGATATACAAAGGAAACAATATGATATCTGGGATTTATTTCAAAATAGTTTAGCAAGCCAGGCACGGTGGCTCATGCCTGTAATCCCAGGACTCTGGGAGGCTGAAGTGGGTGGATCACTTGCAGTCAGGAGTTGAAGACCAGTCTGGCCAACATGGTGAAACCCCGTCTCTACTAAAAACACAAAAATTAGTCAGGTGTGGTGGCACATGCCTGTAATCACAGCTACTTGGGAGGCTGAGGCAGGAGAATCACTTCAATCCGGGAAGTGGAGGTTTGCAGTGAGCCGAGATAGCCCCACTGCTCTCTAGCCTGGGGAACAGTGAGACTCTATCTCAAAAAGAAAAAAAATAGTTTGCAGTATGGCGTGGATAAAGTTTAGATAATTGTTGAAGCTGGGTGATGAGTACATCTGATTCACTATATTAATCTCTCTGCTTTTATATATATTTGAAAATCAAAATAAAAAGTTAAAATCAAAAAATTAAAAATATTTATAAAAAGTTGTGGTTTTTTTCCTCTAATAATTGCCTTAAATTCTACTTTGTTGTTAAAATTGCAATACTGGATTTCATTTGGCTGGTGTTTGTAAATGTTTTTCATCTTTTGACTTTAATCTTTCTATATCAGTATAGTTAAGGGTCATCTTTTGTAAGCAGTGAAAAGTTGGGTTTTAAATCTTTTTATATATTTTGAAAATCTTTGGCACTTAACTGAAATCTTTACATTTAATGTAATTTCTGATATCTCTGGGTTTAAATCTATATCTTAACACATGTTTCCTATTGGTCCTCATTTTTTTCTGTTTCCCCTTCCCCTTTTCCTGCCTTCTGTACTCATTTTAATGCTATTAGTGGTTACTCTAACAATTACAACATGAATCCTGGACTTACCGAAGTCTAATATAAATGGATACTTTCACCTCTTCTCACACAATTAAAGAACCTTAGAAAACTTAAATTCCGTTCACTGTTTTCCAGATTTTATGATACTGTTGTCATGTATTTTTATCCTAGGTATGTTTAGTTAACATTCATTGATATGTACACACACATTTATATTGCCTTTGCTCTTCATTCTTTCGTGAATCTCCACGCTTCCTCCTGAGATCATTTTCCTTCACCCTGAAGAACACCCTTTAGGCTGACAACTGCCTATGACTACAATGAGCCATGTAAAAAACTACGGTTTTCGTGGACAACAGTGACCATGAAACTTTTAAATAAACTATTTTTAGCTTCCCTTAAGAAAAGGGAAGATTTCTTTCAAAAGATCCTTTTTTTTTTTTGAGACAGGGTCTTGCTCTGTCACCAGGTTGGAGTGCAATGGTGTGATCAAGGCTCACTGCAACCTCCGCCTCCCGTTCAAGTAATTCTACTGCCTTGGCCTCCTGAGTAGCTGGGACTACAGGCATGTGCCACCATGCCCGACTGATTTTTGTATTTTTAGTAGAAACAGGGTTTCATCATGTTGGCCAGGATGGTGTCAATCTCTCGATCTCGTTATCTGCCTGCTTTGGCCTCCCAAAGTGCTGGGATTACAGGCGTGAGTCACCACGCCTGGCCAAAAGATTCCTGTTTTTACTTGTATGGCAGCATGTTCACTTACTACCTGATTTTATCAGCCTTGAGGATGTGATTTTAACCAATGAGTTGAATACTTACTTTGAGGAACTGCAGCACAGGATCATCCACGCTGTAATAATCACCAGACCAGACAGCTCCCTATAAAATGGCATACATTTCAGATTTTGGAAGTGGCTACAAGTGAGATGCATATCATCACATTGTCTCCATGACCACCTGATAGTGCATTCTGATTGCGTGATGCTCCCTCAACATCTGTGGCATCTATAGCATAGTTTCAAGTCTGACCATGATTCATAAATTACTTTTTTTCAGATAATTTAAAGCCTTATATGAAAATACATTTCATCTTAAAAGGCAGATATGAGATCCCCGACTATGCCCCAATTTATAAGTGGATCACCCCAAAATGAATATTTTTTAAAACCACAGATATATCACTTTTTTCAGGTCGCTGGAAGAAACAATGCAATTAAGAAAATCCCAGATTTGATCAGTCACTGTTTTTACATTTTTAAAGAGGCTTCCGTGTTAGGCAGAATGAGCTCAAACCAATACATAATCTGTATACATCCTGCAAGAGATTGGGTCACTTCTTAGGGGAGAGGAATGACTTGTAGTACAAATCAGACTAATAATCTGGGGGTGGGTGTATGCTTCTAGATACATGTATTACAAGAACATATCTTTTACACAGAATAAAAAGCAATCATTTCAGCCGTAGTACCACTAGAAGCCCACCCTGAGTTCACTATAACTCATGGGCTTCATGCTGGAAATGATTCAGCTCATCTGGTCTACGTTCTCAGCTGTAGACCCAACCTATAGATTGGCTCTCCAGTTTCTAAAGATTGGTGCTTATAGCAAAGAATCACCTTTTCAGTGATGTTTAACTTACAGGTCTATGAGTTTTGTTGTTGGCAGATGTCAGTAGGGGTAGAAAAGAAAGGAAAGGACCTGTTCGTAAGCCCACGGAGACAAGGGTGGGAGGAAGCAAAGGAAGAGGTGATAAAATAGGTGCCAAGTGGGCTGGGCACAGTGGCTCTTGCCTGTAATGCCAGCACTTTGGGAGGCCAAGGTGCGGATCATGAGGTCAAGAGATCAAGACCATCCTGGCCAACATGGTAAAACCCTGTCTCTGCTAAAAATAAAAAAAAATAAAAAATAAATTAGACAGGCATGGTGGTGCATGCCTGTAGTCCCAACTACTTGGAGGCTAAGGCAAGAGAATCACTTGAACCCAAGAGGCAGAGTTTTCAGTGAGCCGAGATCATGCCACTGCACTCCAGCCTGGCAATAGTGCAGACTGTTGTTTTGAGATTCCATCTCAAAAAAAAAAGGAGCAAGTGGTCATGAGAAGGAGATGAAAAAAGATATACCAGGGCACGTCTAACAGGCTGACTTAAAGTACTGACCTCTGAGATGGCTGATCATACTTGCAGATAAGATTGTGGCTTAAGAATCAGAGGCTGACGGAGTCATCACCATATTATACTGGACTGAGTATTACTTGCTAGTGACAAGGGGGCCAAAGTCCAATGGCCTGACGGTAATATCATATATGTCATGACTGCTAGTAGCCTTGATAATGAAATCTAATAGACTCATGCACAAACATCATACATACAGTGCCTCAGTATTTTTCCATGCCCGACCTCACATGCCTTATACAGAAGCTTGAATATATTCCCATGCACTCCCAACACCCCTCCACAGGGCAAAAGCCCCCGCTCACCTGCCTTCTTCCTCATGTAAGATGTTCTGTTGTGTATGATGCATGAGGTAGTATGCCAAGCCGACAGCCCACACCGTACAAAAGAACATGTGTATTGCAGAGATACTTTTCCAAATAGCATTACCTAAAAATAGACATCCTGATGTTGTTAATCATGGAATCACAGCCCACAGAAAAGTGATCTTTTTGTATGTTTTGCCATAGTTGGCTATCAGAAAGACATTCAGATCCCCTCACCCCCACGGCCCCCCTTTTTTAGGACAACACAGAGGTCATAGCAGTAATTATAAACTTCAATGGCCACTTCTTGTTTGGGTTGCTCAGCAGCTCCCCTTCCTCTGACGATTACTTATTTTCTTTCTTTTTTTTTTTGAGATGGAGTCTTGCTCTTGTTGCCCAGGCTGGAGGGCAATGGCGTGATCTCACCGCAACCTCTGCCTCCCAGGTTCAAGGGATTCTCCTGCTTCAACCTCCCAAGTAGCTGCAGTTACAGACATGCCCCACCATGCCTGGCTAATTTTGTATTTTTAGTAGAGACGGGGTTTCACCATGTTGGCCAGGCAGTTCTTGAACTCCCAACCTCAGGTGATCCACCCATCTTGGCCTCCCAAAGTGCTGGGATTATAAGCATGAGCCACTGCGCCCAGCCCGATTACCCTTATTTTCTTTAGGGATCCACCATGCTAATACTCCCAGTCCACGTTTCCCAGCCAACTGGACTTTGGCTAGGTCAATCAATGCATGTTATCTCCTCAGCCACAGTGATTTGGATCAGCACAAACAGACAACCAATCAGAGCCAGCAACTGCATTTTGAGACTTCGGTAGAGTGACGAAACACAGGCTGTATTCCACGGGGTGTGTTATCGTGAAGATGTGAACAGGGAGGGGCTGCAGGGCCACTGTGTGGAGCCCAAGAGTGAAGTGAGCATGACAGATGGTGGAACTGAGAGGTGGAGAGAAGTGGATGTTCCCAGTCCACCATCCTGAAGCCAGCACCACTTCTCACCTTTTCAGTCAGCTGTACCAACTTTTCTTCTTAGCTCATAGCACATTTGAGTTCTTTTTCTAGTTTGTATCTAAAGGAGCCCTAACTGATCTACCTTAAAGATGTAGATGGAGTTCTAGGAGCCTATACAAGAAGCCCAGGTATCTAGGGAACTAGAATTTTCCCTACCACGGTGAGACTCATTAATCTTTATTCTAAGACCCCTGGGAACATTCGAGCCCCACTAGGAGAAGCTATTTTAAAGAAAGTGAAGAATCTGTCCTCTCATGTCTATAAAACAGAAGATGCTGTTTTACAGCAGATGATTCTGACATTTTCCTGAAGGTGGGTGAGGATGATTAGATTTAGCCCCTCTTATTATGAGAAATGAGAAGAAAGGCCTAAAGAGCCCTGTTTTACTCCTGGGAGTTGGGCAGATACACCCGCATTATGATGAGGAAATCCAATTTGCTCCATTTAGAAAGAAAGGCTTATACCTGTGACTTGAGGGTTAAGTCCAACCAGTAGGGTCAGTACTGCAGGTATTGTGTACACCACCTGTTAGCAAACAGAGAAAATTACATGAGTTAAGATGTATGCCCAATACATGAGATGTTCAGAGATATGTAGGAAGTAAAGAAAGATGAGATCAGTGGCTGCTGTGCTTCATGATTTGCTTCTAGGTTTCAATGGTGATGGACAAAGTGGTACATTATGCTTTAGTGCCACTTACCATGTCTGCCTGCAATTTTATCTACCTTCCTCCTAGACTGTAGGCTATTCCAGAAGCTCATTCATCTTCTTTTTCTTTTTTTGAGACAGAGTCTCACACTGTTGCCCAGGCTGGAGTGCAACGGCTTGATCTTGGCTCACTGTAACCTCCGCCTCTTAGATTCAAGTGATTCTCCTGCCTCAGTCTCCTAAGTGGCTGGAATCACAGACAGGCACCACCACGCCTAGTTAATTTTTGTTGTTGTTGTATTTTTAGTAGAGATGGGGTTTCAATATGTTGGCCAGGCTGGTTCCGAACTCCTAATCTTGTGATCTACCTGTCTCGGCCTCCCAAAGTGCTGGGATTACAGGTGTGAGCCACTGTGCCCGGGCTTATTCATCTTCAACCTCTAGCACTGAGCACAGAGTTTGGGTCTTAAGACACTCTAACATGCTCTGGGTTTCTCTTCATAACAAAGAAATCTCCTTTTACTAAAAAAAAAGACACGCTAACTTTCCAGTCTCTCCCAAGCAACTTTCATGCCCAAATATTGGCCTTTTCCCACTTGCATAAAAGAAAATATTCTTTGAAAAGTAGTGCAGGAGCAGCCACGACTTTAGACAGCCCTGCTGGGCTTGACCCAGTGGACCATCCAGCCCAGTACTGCATCTCTGTGAGACCACAGAAAGTTTTGTAAGAATGCATACACAATCAGCTGTGCCCAGTAATAAAGTCAGGCTCTTCATTTTGGAAACTGCTGATAAATTGTCTGGAAATGAGAAGACTGGACCTAACGAGGCCCTATTCCTAAGCCTCACTCATAGCAAGCAGGCTCTAGCCAAACTTACTATTGTGTGGGCATGTGTTGTTGGCAGGCAGCAAGTAAGGAGGTTGGGTTTATAAGAAGGATGGGGCTTTCGGTGCTTATGTCAGAGGCCATTAGCTTATTTGGAAGTTGTCAGAGCTGCACATTTAAGTGATCTGATTTTACTACACGCCTATCTCGACCCATGGGAGAGGAAGTGTTTGGATTACAGACTCTGTCTCCATCTTTCCTATTCCGTCTTTAATGGTTATTGGAATATTGGCCCATATTGACATTTCCATGTCAGGTAATCACTCACAGGTGGTTACATCACTGAGGATCTTATTAAAATGTAAATTATGATGCTGGAGGTCGGGGGGAGCACAAGTTTCTGAGTTTTATTAGCTCTCAGGGGCTGTTGTTACTGTTGACCCAAGGACCACACTTAGAGCAGTAAGAGGTTAGTTTTCTCCCCATGAAAAACCACAGGACAGCCACAGAGAGAGTGTTAAACACATGCATACAAACATACACACAGGCATCATATAATATTTATTTGTGCTTTCTATAAGAAATGCTTCTCAAAAAAAAAATAATAATAATAATAAAGAAAAAGCCAGGCATGGTAGTTAATGCCTGTAATCCCAGCACTTTGGGAGGCTGAGACAGGAGGATGGCTTGAGGCCAGAGGTTCAAAACCAGCCTAGGCAACATGGCAAAACTCAATCTCTACAAACAATACAGAAAATTAGCCAGGCATGGTGGTGTGCATGCAAAGTCCCAGTTACTTAGAAGACTGATGCTGAGCGGGGAGGATCACCTGAGCCTGGGAGGTCAAGGCTGCAGTACGCTGTGACTGTACCACTGTACTCCAGCCTGGGTGACAGAGTGAGACCCTGTCTCAAAAGAATCTTTTTTTCATAATATATTGTATTGTCTTCATATTGTAAACATAAACAAAACAATCCTTTAAATAATAGTTTCCCAAGCAGTTGTGACCTGTTAATTCTTTTAATCCTGTTAATTCTCTTCTCTATCTTGAATGAAATTTTTAAAATCTGAGGCCAGAGAGATTGAAAATAATTGTTTCTAATATACAAGTTAAAAAATGTACAGTACAGCCAGGTGTGGTGGCGCATGCCTATAATCCCAGCTACTCAGAAGGCTGAGGTAGGAGAATCACTTGAACCTGGGAGGTGGAGGTTGTGGTGAGCTGAGTTCACACCATTGCACTCCAGCATGGGCAATGAGAGAGAAAGTCTGTCTCAAAGAAATAATAAGAAGAAAAAATTAAAAACCCATACACAGTACAAATAATAATGGAATCAGCGGAACCCACTTATAATGGTCTTTTGCATTTTTGTTGGTGGATTTAAAAAAAACTAAGTAGGCCAGGCGTGGTGGCTCATGCATGTAATCCCAGCACTTTGGGAGGCTGAGGCAGGCAGATCATGAGGTCAAGAGATTGAGACCATCCTGGCCAACATGGTGAAATGTCGTCTCTACTAAAAAGACAAAAATTACCTGGGCATGGTGGCACACGCCTGTAATCCCAGCTACTCAGGAGGCTGAGGCTGAAGAATCGCTTAAAAACCTGGGAGGTGGAGGTTGCAGTGAGTGGAGATCTCGACACTGCACTCCAGCCTGGCAACAGAGTGAGATTCTATCTCAAAAACCGAAACAAACAAACCAAAAAAACTAAGTATATCATAGTATTCATTTACAATATTTAGTTTAATTCAACATGTAGTCCTTGAGTACTATGGCAGTCATTCCTAATATCACTCTCCTTGTCCAACTGCCACTAAGAAAGCTGAAAAAGTCAATTTCTCAGCTACCTCTGGACTTCTTGAAGGTAGGGGTGGTCATGTTTCAGCAATGAGATGGGAGGAGAAGTGTTTTAGGGGCAAGGCCAATACTCACAGCATTTAGCAGTTAACATGCATGGATACAGATCAATCAGAATGGAACCCTAAGAATATGCCATACGGGTATACACAAACAAAATAGCAGCCCTGGCCAAGGGGCATCTTGGGAACGTTTTCCTCTCTGACAGAAGAGAAAAAAGCCCAGGAAGAAAACTTATTTTGTTCCTGCCCTGCTTCTTCCTACTTGGGATGCTCTTTTCTGGAGATGTTTGGAGCTGCAGCAGCCATTCCATGAACATAAGAGGAGATATCACCAAACCATTAAGGATAGCAGAGAAGAAAGGCAGAAAGCTCAGGTTCTTGATGACGCTGTTAACTTAAACAGGTACCTCTGGACTTCTTAAGTGAGATGCTCTGTATTTTAATAATGCTGGTCAAGTTTCCATTATTTGCTGCCGTATGCATTCTGATACAAATACCCTCCATGAGAAAGGTGAAGCAGAGAACACAGAAATGACTTGGGCCAGCCCCCAAAGCCTAACGTTTGCTCACTGGTGCATCCATTCATTCTTGAATTCATTCAAGAGTCACTACAGGAAGGATTTCTATAAGGGATGCTCTTAATGGGGGCTGCTTGAAGACTATCAAGAAGAAGGAAGAATGATTCTTGTCCTTGTGGGAGCCGGTACACACACAGCCAACTCTAATGCAAAGCCCAATGTCTTAGCACAACAGAAAAGGTCCGAAGGAAGAATGGCTGGAGCCTACAGGAGAAAGGCAGAGAGATTTTTTGGGTGAGACAGCATTTGCAATAGATATTGACGCTTGGGGAGAGTATGGTATACAGGAATTCCAGGGCAAGGCACAGTAACTGTTACTGCTGGATTAGGCTTCAGTGTCCAAGCCAGAAGGTGGGTTGGGGCCATTCGGTGGTGGGCCTTGAATCCAAGTTGGAGAGTTTCAACTTAGAGATCTTGGGACATGACAAAAGCATTTAAAGCAGAAAGTGACATACAGGAGATGCTCTAGGAGCAGAAGAGATTAGATGCAGGCAGACAGAAGAGTTGGGAAGCGGTTCCAGGGCTCCACGTGGGAGGTAGTGGAGTGCTGAACTGTGAATGAGGGAGGATGTCTACAGGGACATGGGGTCTGTTCTTCCTATTATATCATCTGAGCATGAATGAAAGACAAAATGTGCAGATACTATATAGGTAAGCAATTAGACCTAGATTGTTTAATTTTTTTTTTTGAGATGGAATTTCACTCTTGTTGCCCAGGCTGGAGTGCAATGGGCTGACCACAACCTCCGCCTCCTGGGTTCAAGTGATTCTCCTGCCTCAGCCTCCCAAATAGCTGGGATTACAGGCATGTGCTGCCACTCCTGGCTAATTTTGTATTTTTAGTAGAGGGAGTTTCTCCATGTTGGTCAAGCTGGTCTCGAACTCCTGACCTCAGGTGATCTGCCCGCCTCTGCCTCCCAAAGTGCTGGGATTAAAAGCATGAGGCACCATGCCCAGCGGATTGTTTAATTACCTAATTTTTTAGAGATGGGGGGTCTCGCTGTGTTGCACAGGCTGGTCTTGAACTCCTGGGCTCAAGTGATTCTCCTGCCTCAGCCTCCTGAGTAACTGGAACTACAGGCCGTGCATGCCCAGCTCAAATTTATTTTGTTGTTTTGAGGGGATCTCCAAGGCATTGGTAAGGAACACAGGAATGTTAACAATGACTGAGATTCTGGACAAGGACGACTCACAGAATGATTCTGCTGATAACAAAAATGGGTGAGTCAGGAGAAGGAGTAGATTTTGGAGGGAAAGATGCTAGGTAGGTCCCTGGGGATATTTAAGGTGCAGGGTGACATAAAGGTGAATATACGCAGCAGCAGTTTTTTGAAAATTCATCATTAAGCTGGATGTCTGAGACTTGTCTACAGGGAAATAATATTTGGAATTCAAGATAAGGACCAGAGTGCCAGGGCAAAGACAGTTTGATTTGATTCAGAGGCATAGTGATCTGGATAAGAAATATCAGAATGTGGTTTTACTGCATTAAGAAACAACAACAACAAAAAAAACTGGTTATAATTTCGTGTTATAATTCCAAATGCTGTCATCCTTGTTACTCCTCTGTCAATATATTCTAACGCCTAAGAATAGTCTCCTTGGTGATACTATACAGTCTTGTATACCTATATTGAGAGAAATTGGGCAAAATTCAGATATTTTAGAAGATAAAGGATATTTAGAAAATATATGGGACAATGCCCCCCTCCTGCAAATGGCTCAAATCAGAGCACTGCTTTTATGAAGATTGTAGGTTTTGCAGGATTTAATATTTCTTTTCTCTCTCTCTCTCTTTTTTTTTTTTTTTTTTTTTTTTGTTTTTTGAGATGGAGTCTCACTTTGTTGCCCAGGCTGGAGTGCAGTGGCATAGTCTTGGCTCACTGCAACCTCTGCCTCCGGGTTCAAGCAATCCTGCTTCAGCCTCCCGAGTGACTAGAGACTACGGGCGCATGCCACCACGCTTGGCTACTTTTTGTATTTCTTGGTGAAGATGTTTTACCATGTTGCCCAGGCTGGTCTCCAACTCCTGACCTCAAGTGATCCACCTGCCTTGGCTTCCCAGTGTGCTGAGATTACAGACATAAGCCACCTTGCCCAGCCAGGAGTTAATACTTTCTGTAAATATAAGTAACTGAATTAGCAGAACCACAGAACTTAAGCCTGCTATTTCCTGGTCAAAGGTTTGCATTGAATTTCTGGCTAGAAACTAATCAGAAAAGGTTCAGCTGGTCTCGAGAGGCCTGCTCTAGGTCCTAAAGAAAGTGTCCTCAGTTGAGCCATCTACCCAAAGGGATTACTGCAGAAAGACCTGTTTCCAGAAAGTTCAAAATTGACACACACATCACATTAGAACTCTGATCCTGCCTACTGATATTTTAGGAAAAAGAGTTTACCAAGGGTTTGATTTTTAAGTTTCTAAGAAAATTAAGCAGGGAGCAGAGGTAAAGACATAAAACTGTGTTTTGTGCCATTCCCCAATTCTTCCAAATGGAGGAAAGCCTGGAAGAGGCTCATACTCACCACCCACAGCTCTGCATCTGGGTCATTTACCTGGAACGCCAGAACACCAAGTTGTTAGCAGACATCCTCCGTCCTGTTCCATTTCTTTTAAATTCATTTGTTAAGTACTTTAAAAAAAAGTAATTTGTTAAGTGCCAGGCACTGCAATAGGCACCACGGATACAAAATCTGAACAGGACATAGTCCAGTAGATGAGGATGGGTGAGGGGGTTTCTTTCTGGCTGACACAACAGATGTTTTTAACAGGCAGCCACACGTTTTTGAAGAGCCTTCACAGGCGCTCTGGAGAGGACTCTTCAAACCCAGAATGGGTATTTTAAGGGCCCTCCACCGCCACCCCCACCAGTCTCAAGAAATGAGGGAAATTATTATGATGAGGGTCCCCAAGCAGACTTGAAGAGCTAACGATGCTATAAAGAGTTTTGTCCTGCTTCGTCTCCTAGGCCCTGAGATGTGTTCTGTGTCTCCCCGGGCTGGATGTTAAGGCAGGTGTCAGGGCCGCTTCTGCTGAGGTCCCCTGGGAACTTCCACGCGCTGAACTAGCCCTTTCCAGGGTGTGAGCTGAGGAGGGGCCTGTAAGGCCAGATCCCGGGGTCTGACTCGCTTCCATGAACACACCGCGTTTCTCTTTTTTCTTTTTTTTTTTTTTGAGACGGAGTTTCGCTCTTGTTACCCAGGCTGGAGTGCAATGGCGCGATCTCGGCTCACCGCAACCTCCGCCTCCTGGGTTCAGGCAATTCTCCTCTCAGCCTCCTGAATTGCTGTGATTACAGGCACGTGCCACCACGCCCAGCTAATTTTTTGTATTTTTAGTAGAGACGGGGTTTCACCATGTTGACCAAGATGGTCTCGATCTGTTGACCTCGTGATCCACCCGCCTCGGCCTCCCAAAGTGCTGGGATTACAGACTTGAGCCACCGCGCCCGGCCCACACCGCGTTTCTTAGACGGTGAAGAGGCTGGGGGATCCCCAAGCAGAAACCCAAGTCCCATCCTCCCCATAAACAGAGCGCCCCTGCGACTCTGCCGGCTCGCCGGTCTACACCGCCCGCCAGGCCAGGGGTGGAGCTGGGAACCCAGCGGGTCCCCCTCCCACCACGGCCGCCTGACCTGCACGAAGGCCGCCAGCGCGAAGAAGGCGGCCATGAGCCCGTTGCAGGCCCTCCACAGGGCCGGCGCCATGGCTCGGTGAGCGCGGGGCCGAACGGCGAGTCCCGCCTCGTCCGGGTCGGCCCCTTCCTTCCGCGGAGGGACTGAGATCCCGCCCCGGCCTCGGCCTCCAGGGGGCGCTGCAGTGGCCGCGGTCCGCGCCGGGACGGGAGCGAAGGGCGTGGCTGGAGCCAGACTCAGCGTTCCATTCAGCCCGCCCGGAAGGCCGCGAGGTGTGGGCGACGCCGTCCGGGTTTCGCGGTTGGGAAAGCGAGTCCCACTGGGAGCGCAGGGCCCGCTCGAGGTCGCACAGCTCTCGGCGGAGGACGGAAGTAGAATTTTGAACCCATAGAGATTCAACTCCAAAGCCTGTTTTCACCAAAGCTACCTTCCTCATCTCTAAAAAAGAAAATAAAGAAAAAGAAAAGGAAAAAAAAAAAAAAAAAAAAAGGGAGGGATGACAGGGAGACAGGAAGAAAAGAGAGAGAAAGAAAGAAGGAAAGAAAGGGCCGGGAGCGCAGACTCACGCCTGTGAAACCCCGTCTCTACTAAAAACACACAAAAACTTAGCCGGGCGTGGTGGCAGGAGTCTGTAATTCCAGCTACTGGGAAGGCTGAGGCAGGAGAATCACTTGAACCCGGAAGTTGCAGTGAGCCAGATTGTGCCACTCCACTGCAGCGTGGGTGACAGAGTGAGACTCTGTCTCAAAAATAATAATAAATTGTTTTTAAATAAAGAGAGTGAGCGTGTGTGTGTGTGTGTGTGTGTGTGTGTGTATCTGTTTAGTGTTTATGCATTTCCTTACTAGCTCAGGAACTTTCAAATCCCTGTAAGCATTATGGTAATTTCTAGAGTGATGACAGTTATATTAACATCTTATACGGCTCACAGCTTTCCCGCAGACAGGCTCATTTATCTTCTTGGGCTTTTATTATAAAATATATTTACATATTGTACATATTTACAATTCTCTCCCACCACCAAAACCAACAAAAGTTCCAAAATCGCTCATGAATTTCTTATGAACTGAAGACACTGAAATATTCACTGTTCTCCACCAGTCTGTTTTCGTCTTTTTCTGTTTTGTGATTCGCGCTTCTGCTTAGTTCTTCCCCGGGACTCATTTACACATCCATAGGCCTCATTCCTGCTGTTCTGAAGAGCCTTTATTGCTTCAAATCAGGAGCTTGTGTGCCTGTCCTCTTTTCCTTTGAGCTAAATCTCCTAAAACTGTCTAGGTTTTTTATTTCTTACCCTCTCAGTTTCATTCTTTTCACGAAACACTTATTTCAAGAATGTTGTCTGCTCTGTGCCTGGTGCTGGGACCAGGCAGGGAGCTTGGCAGCTGGGAGGGGGTGGGCATTTGGTGTTTGCAGAGGTGTGACTGGGACAGCGGGACCAGCACTGGGTGGAGTTCCACAAGTAAATCAGCCCTGGGATTGGAAACAGGCCAAGACCACCCTCACTGTCCTTTTCTTTATGTTAGAGATAGTGAACTCCAAGTTTCTCTTCAAAGAATCGGTTTGTCAGTATGCTCAGCTCTTATTCTTTAATTCTCCGTTTCAAAGTTTAACTTCCTTGTAGTTTCAGTAAAAACCTTTCCCACCAGTTCTACTCAGTAGTTCACATCTGTTCCCCTGTTCAATCCTGACTTATCCGGGTCACCTGCTCCAGTCACCTGCTTTGACCCCTGGTTACCAGCTCTCACATGCCCTAACCATCCTTCCCACCAAACTACCCACCCCACCACTCTGGCTTGTACCCCTGCTCTCTTTAAAATAGCCAATCTGAATTAGACTAAACTGTGCGGTCTAACCCTAGCCAATAGGGAAACGACACAGCAGTAGGGGCGACCTCCGTTAGGAATAAGTACCCTTTCCCCTCCCTTGTCCAGGTGTGCCTTCACCATTGTTCCATCTGTGAGCAGCACCCTTCTATAGAAGTAAATTGCCTTGCTGAGGAAATTCATATTCCAGTGCTACTTTTTTTTGCGGCACTGAAAATTTTACATATAACACTTACATAAAAGAAAAAAAGGAAAGCAGGAGTGTTAGGGACTGATTTGCATTCCCCCTACACCCCCAATTCATATGCTGATGCCCTAACTCCCAGTGCCTCAAAATGGGACTGTATTTGGAGACAGGGACTTGATAGAGATGATTAAGTTAAAATGAGGTGATTAGGGTGGGCCCTAATCCAATATGTCTAGTGTCCTGATATGAAGAGGGGACAGTTACAGAGGGAAGACCACATGGACATACAGGGGGAAGACAGCTGTCTGCAAGCCAAGGAGAGAGGCGTCATGAGAAACCAACCCCACTGACATCCTGAATTTGGACTTCCAGACTCCAGAACTGTGAGAAAATAAATTTCTGTGGTTTAAGTCACCTAGTCTGTGGTACTTTGTTGGGGCAGCCCTAGCAAATTAATACAGGGAATGATCATAATACCCATAAGGAAAAAACGGCATGGAAGTGCTTTTAAACTCTCGAATGTCGTACAACCACCATGAAGGGGTTTTTTTTGTTGTTTTTTTACTGGGTTTTTTTTTTTTTTTTGAGACAGTCTCACTCTGTTGCCAGGCTGGAGTGCAGTGGCGCGATCTCGGCTCACTGCAACCTCTGCCTCCCAGATTCAAGCAATTCTCCTGCCTCACCCTCCCGAGTAGCTGGGACTACAGGTGCATGCCACCACACTTAGCTAATTTTTGTTTTTTTAGTAGAGACAGGGTTTCACCATGTTGGCCAGGATTGTCTCGATCTCTTGACTTCGTGATCCACCAGTCTTGGCCTCCCAAAGTGCTGGGATTACAGGCGTGAGCCACTGCGCCTGGCCCAGCCACCATGAAGTTTTACAATTTTCACTGCTGTTGTCTGGGACTTTTAAAGTCACCTTAGTGAGCGTCTGTTGGTTTCTTCCTTTGCGGGGTTCAGTCCCCTTTCTTCTACGATCCATGTCTTTAGTTCTATGGGTTACCACATGCACTGTGGGTGCATGTGGACCACGGGGCTGACCACACTCCCCTCCTTCCGGGAATAGGCAGGTGACTTTGGCCTACTGGCTGACATGCCCCATTTTGCTGACCACTGTGGTTGGGTCTAGGATGGGTGTAGGATCCAAATTGCCCAGATTCAATCCTAGGACGTATATGGGACCTAAGGTTGTCAATCAAGGACAACCTCAGTCAAATTGAATTTTGGATCATCAAGGATGTGTTCCAAATATTTGCTAAATCTGGCAACCCTAATCAGACGAATACAGAGAAGCTTTCTTTGTAGTGAATGTGTGGAGCTGGTAGAATGTGATCCTGGAGTTGTCAGGAGAAAGCCATACAGGAAGCAAGGCTTTCCATGGGTGAAGTCACTGAAGAGGAAGTGGACCTGATGGCATTGCTGGAGGCTCTGGATCCAGCCATGCCTGAAGCTGGAACAGTCTCACAACCAACAAAGTCTCTTCTTTACATAAGCCCGTGTGAACTGGTTCTTTGTAATTTGCAACAAAGAATGATGACTTTTAAAGTCATGATTCAATAGTTAAGGCAATGTGTGAAATCCTCTCAAACCTCCTGCTGCAGGTTTGTCCAGACTTTGCAGATACACGGAAGAGAAAGCTTGGTCTGAAAAGTAATAAGAAATATGTTTAAGTGAATGCAATATCTCAGACAGCTCTGCTTAAAGGGTAATTTTGTCTTCTTTTTAAACAAAAGGCGGTGTTACAATACTGCAGAAAAGATGAGGTTTTCAAGGGAGTAGTGTCTTGTCAAAGCTGGCTTCCCTCTGCAGAAAGGGCAGCACAAAGGACCCTTCATCCTGCTGGGCACTCCCTGGCTGCCTGATCAGTGAAAACATCATAAAAGCAATTGGAGGCACTGGAGCAAGGAGAGCTGGACTCACTTCTGTGCTGGATCCCGAGAATGGCTTGATATCTGTCCTCTGAGAACTTGAAAATAGAGGTGCTTGCTTGTTTCCTGTGAGTAGGGTTATTAATTCAATGATAAGAGTTGGAGGAGAGACAGGAATCTCATAAAAAGACACAAATGGCCTCCCAGGGTCACAAGATTGAGACAGAGAGAGAGAGAGAAAATGAATGCATGAAAGTATGTAAAAGAAGAATGTCAGCAAAGGGGGACTGATGGGCTCGGAGACCCAAAGTTACGTCATCTGGAAGGCAAGTGTAGACCAAGTCCATCCTCGCACAGACTGGAGAGGGTGTTTTGCTCCCCCAGATGTGGACACTCACATTTTCTTGGTTGAGCCAACCCTTGGGGGGGGGGGGCTGACGTGGGTTGAAAATTTCACAAGCTCAACCCTCCCCTTGCTGTGATTCCAGAAGGTCAATTTTAGAGACTTTGGCTTCCCACCTTGGTGGCCTACAGAGTGGAGAATATGTGGCTCTTCGAATATGCACACTGTATTTCAAAATGTACATCAACAGAATGCTCCCGCCATTCTCTTTATAGGCTTGTTTTTCTTGGAGCAGTCTCCATTATCTACTCTGGAATGTTGTGGGAATGGAGGCTGGACAAAGTCTGAGACAGTGTCATCACCAGTGAGTAGACCCTCCCTCTGCTGGATGTCCGCAGTGTGTGTGCTGGTGATGGTCCTAAGAAGACATATTGGGAACAAGGGCTACAAGGATCAGAAACCGCTGCCTGGGCCATCTACCTTCCTCTGTCCAGCACACCCAATCAGCAAAGGCCAGTCCATGCTGTCTCCAGGCTCTGCTGATTGCGTGTGATGGAAGTGTTGGAGCAAGAAAGGGTTGGAATAGGACAGTGGAGGAATTCTATTAGAGGAAGTGGGGGTATTCTACCAGGGACCAGATGCTTCTGCTGAAGTATTTGAAATCAGAAAAGCACCTTGCCACAGCAAGGATTGATTTGCTTTCACAAAACCCAGATGGTCTCTAGGAAGGACTCGGGTTTCTACTGTTAGCAAAACATAGCCCATGTTGTGGAAGTCTTAAAGCTTACACATATTGATTGACAATGGAAACCACTTGGCTTGAATAATGTTCCTCAAATATCCCCTTATGCCAGTGGAAGGAGAATATGGTTCAATGAACCCCCTGCATGTATTTATATCCACTCTTCTCTTCATTGGCATGAAACACTCAGTGAGCCATTTATTCTATCCATTCACATCCATTTAGTCAAGACTTCATGGCCAGCCATAGTGGCTCATGCTTGTAATCCCAGCACTTTGGGAGGTCGAGGTGGGCAGATCATGAGGTCAGGAGTTCGAGACCAACCTGCCCAATAAGGTGAAACCCTGTTTCTACTGAAAAATACAAAAACTAG